TTTATCTCCCTCGAGCGAAATAGGAGAGGAGGGGTGGTCAAGGCCCGAAGTCACTGGATCGCCATTGTTCGGGACAGGTTTCCTATGTACTGTTGTTGGATTGTGACTAGAGAAGCTCTCTGGGGCGGGCGAGCCGCCGAGCCCAAGAGGAGACGCCATGAAACACCCTGGTCCGTATCAAAAAATAGCCATGGATCGACAGTCGCTCATGCCGATTAGCACGGAAAAGAGAATGGCACGCGCCAACAAGATTACCAAAAGGGTAAAGATTAATTCTGAGTGTATCAGAGAAAGGGAAGAAAAGGAAAGGAGAAAGTCACTATTGACAAGCCGGATTGGCGCAAACCGCCCGTGGGTTTCCCCATTTTCAGTAGCGCTGGGCTTTCGGGACGAGTAAGCGTGGGTGGAGCGCAGGGGTTACTGACGTGGGTCTGGACTTGCATGGATTCGATTGGTACGAATACATCTCACAGTTGGTCTTTTGCCCGGTAGGATCGACATCGCTTGAACCTACGGATATGACTTGCTCATTCCTTATACCCCGTATACTCTATGCTCTGTACGGAGTATAGCATATGGAGTACTCGATAAATGTATGGGTGTATTGGTAGATTTCCATATGCAGTATATGGAGACAAGCAAAAATATGAAAATAGAACATTCAATAGTGTCAAGTGGCACAAAGAACCCCCTTGAGTCGTGGGATATGGAGAAGTTCGCACGTCCCAGCCAAAATGCTTGGCACACTCAGGGGTAGACTTCGTACCAAACGCGTACTTTCTTTGTAACTTTTTTATCTTTAATACTTGAAAAGACACCTTTAAAGTACTTCTTGTCTACCTTTCTATCTTCGAGTTCCCAAGGTTCAATAATCCAGTGACAATAATCCATACTCCAGAGCCAACTACTCCGTACATCTATTCCATTATTATATACAAGATTTATGTATATTTTATATGATTTTTGTATATAACTTCATCAAAATTTGAATATCTCATTGTTTGTAATAAATTAAGGGGCCATAAAAAAAATTTCCCATACCCCTTTTCTCTTTAGGGCCTCTGGCCCAAGCTCCTCAATTTTATGAAAAGACCACTCACTACTAGAAGAACGTGCTCAATCCAAATCCTGCACGCTAACCATTTTACCGTGCCCAATGAAATATCATCAACAGGGCGTCTCGCCAGACACACGGGCCAGTACGTGGACATGTGTTGCTTCAACGGGCCAAGCGCCGGACTAACGAACCGTTCCTGCATTGTGTCACATCAGGAAATTGACCAATCTGTACTCTCCGTACTTCTCTGTCCTTTCTACTTCGTATAGTCTATGAAAGATTTGCTGAATTATAAGTTTCTGAAGACATCTGACTATGTTGTACAATTCATATTGTTTTTCCGTCGGGAACTGTGTATGTACTTCCCAGTCACTACTATCTAGAAATTCTCAGTACTGATCACCAGTCTGATCTTAATTAGTACTAGGGAGAATATCGAGTTCAAATGTTATTATACAAATATTGTGTCTACAATTCCTTATCTATACATGTTCCACTCTGTACAGAGTACTCGGGCGTTTATATGACTTCTAGGATTCGCACTGTGTCAAGGTCTATGGAGATATTTTGTTCACTGTCACAACACATTATAATTCATAAATCAGACTGGACGTTACTATCCTAGTCACTGTGAAAACAAAATAGCCATGTGAGGTGGCGTGGTCTATTCTATGTAATTTAATGCTTCTACGGAATAAAGTACGCAGGACGGCTCCTCCATAAAGGTCCACCATAGCCGTCGCAGGGTAGGTTGAGACCTCATGATTCCGAAACAGTGTCATATAGTGCGGTATGGTGTACAAGATAGTTACGGAGTTGTAATATGTCGCTTTCGATATTTGTTCTTTAAGAATGAATTGGGATATCGTAGGCTACTAAATCCAAAGCACACCCACCTAACCTTTCAATCAACATCGACTCCAGAGTAGTCTATTTACACACAGCACTGAACATCTATCCTAGTCCACTTTCACGTCAATAAAGAAAAGTGGTTTATGCCCGTTTGATCCACTCCCTTCGCGCGCAGTCTAGACCATGTCTCACCCTTGAACATGTCTCACTTCCAAAAGACTTGATGCATAGATTGCGCCTGTTCGGCGATCAGTAATTTTCTGTCTTTGTTCAAATCCCAGCCACAGCCGTTCTATCATTAAAGGCAGTACGGAGTAGTGTCTGGATTCATCGAGCGGCTAAATATCTGGATGTTGCGTCTGGACTGTTTCAGGGGCCCTTGCTGTTGGTACGGAGTATATCTAGACAGAATGGAACAGAGCTATGCTGAGCATTTATAACATGGCTGGTGATATTTAGTGCGGTATCTGGCTCATACACCCACAATGTCCCCAGGAACGTCTTGCATAGATATTTGCGGTGTGCATGTTCAGGGATCAGGGATCAGGGCTAGTGCCCTTCCAAATACTTCCAAATACTTCCGTCTCTCTTTAATCTTTAATTAACCCCTATTCTTATAGGCCTTCACCGTGCCATTTTCGAGCTTTGTTCGCCATCGACAATAGCAAGTAAGAAAAGGTACATTGCACCATAACGTAACCTCTGACTGATTAGTCCCTAATGATAGCTGGTAATGGGAAACCAACCTGCCTTGCTGTGCAACCAAAAATTGGCTGTTGGCATTCGGGACTCAATTCTTGAAGTCGAAAGAGAAATAGTGGCCTTGAGGTGGTAGGGTTATTTGTTGCCAAATGCCTTTATACGAAGAGTGAAACTACATGTTTCATGCTTTCGACAATTTCAGATCGGAAAATCCGATTACTTTTCTTTTCTATTTTCTATTTCTCCCCCTTTTCTTTTCTTTTCTTTTTTCTTTGATATAAGTCCTCTCTCACAAAGGCGAGTTGGGGATTTCGATGTTTCAAACAAACCCGAGACAGATACAGAACGATAGAAAGATAAAACAGAAGCCAAATAAAAGACGAAACAGAAGACCAAAGACAAAATACAAGACAAGCAAAAGATGAATGAGACGAATGAAAGACTCCAGAACGATAGACAAAACGAAGACCAGAACAAAATTCACATCCAATAACCATACTTTTTAGCGTCCTCAGCTGTTCTAAAAAAATTGACAGGAGGAGGTGGTGGTAGCTCATTGTTATCCCTCATTTCCTGCATAAGTTTGTATAGCGGGATAAACATATCTTGTAAATTCTTCTCCCTAAAAACATTGATTTCTTCCCACATAGCTTGGAACCGAGGCCGGAGGGTTCTTTTAACCGTCAATGAAGGATTTAAGTGGTACTCCATCAAAGGGTATAGTAGTAAGCGCCATCTATTGTCGTACGAATTGGCGTGCTTGTGGTCCCGGAAAATCAATAATATGATCGCCTCAGCGTATGAGTTCGGGTTAAGGATCTGAACAGGATAAAGATCGGTCCACGGGCCCGTAGGTCCTCCCGGTACATATGGTGGGAGTTTAGGATCATTGGAAAGCATCAAATCGGGGTCGTCTAGAGCAGGAGGAGCGACCTTGAAATCTGAAAGCCACCAGAGATGGCTAGACTTAGGGTATAGCCGTATGTCTAGCATCCCCTCGTATTGGGGGTATCGAGATTCAACGTGACAATGCACGGGGGCAATAGGGCGATTATTTCTCCAGCTCTTTAATTCGTAACAGTCAGGATCTGTGCAAGGCGTGAATCCAGCAGCAGCCAAGGCCTCCGAACCCGTCGTGATCAGATCATCAGGAACTATGAATTCAATATCCTAAATAGTTAACTTCTGATCTCTAAGAACGGGGCTTCAGAGACAAGAGATATTTACTTACTGCCTCTTCGGTCCTCCATTGGCCAACTAGACAACCGGCCATCTGACCCCAGAGAATGTTTGGAACTTGCGCCTCATCTAAGATCTTGGCCACATCTGCAGCTGGCTGTGCTTCTTCATTGGTCGCTTTTATCCGAGCTGCTGGGGACTTGAATTTTCTTTTTTTTCTATCAAGTAAAACCATGGGGAGAGGTCGGAGATGAGGGTTGTAGATGTTAAAACAGTCGAGGACATCGATGTTTTTATACCTGTCTTTGATCAAATATCCCCCCGTGCTCACCGCAAAGCCTTTGACTCGACTGGCCCTCAAATTCTTGGACTCGAATCCTCGTATGATAGGCTGAGAGTATGGAAGGATAAACTTTCAAACTCGGTTCGGTTAAACGTTGTCTTTGATTAATATCACCAGAAATAAGCACAAAGAAGGGGGGTTATATTTGCCTGTAGGAGATTGACGAACAAAGATATCTTTGGTAGATATTTTCAATAGTAAGTTACATCGTGCGAGCCTCGTTTCAAAGTTTCTTTGATAAGTCGAGAATCCATAATCTGAAAATTTTTCCTACACCAATATGCTGGTTTCAAAGCTTCTACGGTACTTGACTACGTGGATCGTGATTGGCACCTCTGTGTTACAGAATGTATAGATATAGCATAGTCAAACCCCCGAGTATGCACGGCCACTATTATCTAAGGCCTAAAAAAAAGCTAGCTTATAGAAATGAGGGTTGGATATAAAGGTTGCCGCAAGGGTGCTTAGGCGTTCGAGATGAGGCACATGAAGATGGTAACCAAGACACGATTTGGAGGAGAAAAAACAACATTGTAGAGACTGTCTTTAATCACCCACAGATCTGCATATTGGGCAAGATGTTAGTTGATACGCGTGCCCTGCACTGTAATGGGTGTTGCACGGCATAACGAAATTGAGAAATTTGCCTCAACTTGACAAAATGAATTTATGATGTAGAAAAGCCAACTAAAAGGGACTTGAGTCTCAGACTAAGCTATGCGAGATGTTATATCAGGGATCTTCTTCGTCCATCTCTAGTTCCTGAGGAAGTATAAAAAGACCACAAGAATATTGGTTCAGACGAGTGAAATTTCCTTTCATATATTCAAGGATATCAACGATTACGCCCATGCTCCAACATTAAAATCAACCGAGATTATGGTGCCAATTGGGATTATACCCTCGTGTGGTCCCAAAGACATTCCGCATTTCATAATGTCCATTTGTGCTCTCGTAGGAGGTAAATCCGGCCATACATCCAAGGATTGTATGGAAAAAACCTGTGATGGCACCGTATACAGCCCCAGCGGCGGCAGCAACGTTGTAAGGACAGACATCATAGCCTGTAAATTCAAATTCCAAATATCAGTCACATCGTACGTCAACAGATGCAACAGGAGCAACGAAAAGAGTGACCCCCAAAGCTTTGCGATATAGAAGAGATAGCAACTGACCTCCGTTATGTGCCATACGAGCAAACACGTATCCCCCCAAGGCATCGAGCCCCATCACACAAAGTTGTGTCTGGGGCTCGCTACCATATAGCCCCCCAGCGGCTGCGATACAAAACAAGATTAGCAATGGAGACTGCAAGCGAAGAAAAAGGACTTACATTGATATATCCCAATACATTCTCCTGCCAGGGGAATAGCAGCGACAACAGCCGCAACAAGCAACGCGCTCGGTGCTAAAAACTGTTAGACACAATGCCACAGATATACCACCAGTTCGACTCGCCCAACAGAGAAATATCTCAGAGGGATTTTCACTCACTTTCTCCCAGAACTAAATTGCTAACCTCTGCCGTGACTAGAACACAGATTCCAAATCCACTCGCCAGTAGAGCCAACAGTATCCATGCGGGCGTTGGCAAGCCCGCATAACTGGCAAATTCGACGAATGCCAATACCCCGGACTTTGTAACTCCAGCTAGGGCACCAATTTGCATTGCTCTCGCTGTCAGTGGGGTTCCATTAACGTGCGCAGCGGTCGCTACTGCAGCTGGCCCGGCAGCGGCGTTCACTGCGATGTCTAGCGCAGCTAGGGCGAAGAACGTCCATACTATAGTAATTAATAGTAAGTACTAGGTTGAAGGATGATAAAACTTCAATGAGGAAGACCGTTATGAATAGCTTTGGGTTTATAGATGGGGAAAATTGAGAGCTTACTGTTGATAGCAGGACGTGCGACATCGTCCATATTCATGGGATTGTTAAAGCAGTTCTATGTACGGAGTACTGTAATAGAAGTAGTAACAAGTCATAAAGTTGGACCCTGAAAATGAGAGTGGACGTCTTATAATCAATTTATTAGCCAAGGGATTGATAGGAAGGTAACTTTAAAAGCTCGCCATTTCTCACCAAAAGCCCGGGGATCACATGGATGAGGCTGAAAAAGGACATCTTGTTTTCGACAGGGAAGAATCATAAAGTTAAACAGGAGTTTGATATAGTTCCCGATTAACCAATCAAGTAACTCATTTGCCGAGGCTAAGTCTCATTCCTCTAAAAAGCCCTAATTTGGGCCTAGCAGTTACTGCAGTCAGCATCGCTAGATGGGGCATCCTGGGGCGACCCAATCCCAATGCGATAAACAGCCTCTTGGCGGATTCAGCTGCCTTTTAGTTAAACATTGAAGAAAGAGATTTTGGACTGACGATCGGGTTTTTCATGGCGCAATGCTCCTTGGCTGTCGCGCCCGGGCACATGGGCTTTTTCTTTCCTTTTTTACCTTGTTTTCTTAACACTTTCATCAGGCGAACCGAGAGAGATATTCATCAAAGTAAAAGTGATAATGGACACATGAACCGAGCATAAAATATAGAGCATCTCACCCCTCAGCTCACAGTAGCGTATCGCCTGGAAAGTCGTTATAACAATCATTGTCTCACACAATATGAACTCGACAACCTGTGTCATCGAGGCCAATCCCGATGTATCTGGAGTCGGAGTAAGTTTCATATATTCTATCCCCTCGAACGAAAGAAACCCCCCAAGTTGACCCATCACCCACAGATCCGTGTATCGATTTACACCCTCTGTCTAGGCGGGTCGATTGTTAGCTATCTACTCCGCGTATTTACGCCAGGCGAAGACCAAGAAGAGTTCTCGCGAGGCGTCTCCTCCGCTCTTGGCTTACAAGGCCTAGCCCTCCTCTGCACCGCCATCTACCAGACAATTCGGGGCGACCTAACACTCTTCCACGCGATATGTGTCGTGCACCTTCTCGCCATACTCGGCATAGACATGGTTAGTAAAGGCCGGTATGCAGGACTCGGGCCATGGCGACTATATTTCTTTGCCGCACTCCAGATCCTAGCTTTAGCGGCTTTTCTCTCCTTTAATATCTATGTCTGGGTGACTGCGCCGCATTTCGGTAGCCAGCCTCAGTGCAACAAGGACACCGTGTATGTGATCTTTGGTGTGAGCATTAAAGCCACTGCTCCTGTATTCCGGTATATCATTCTCGGCACGCTCGGTGCGGTTGTGGCTGGTTATGCTATTACTTTCACATGCATGCTGCCGTGTCTGTGTGGGTACGTTAGGCACCGAAGACGGCACCCTGACGCTGGAGATAGGATTGAGGGTCAGAAGAGAGGTTGGATAAATTGGTTTGTGGAAGTCAATCATCCTGTTTACCGGGATGATCGTGAACCACCTGAGAGACTGCATGGCCAGGCGCTGCTCAGATATACGCTGAACAAAGTCGCGTACTGCTCGTTCTGCATATACTTGATTGTGTCGCTGGAACAGACTATCAGTCGCAATGTTCTCGACCCTGAAGAGAAAGGATGGACGTTTGGACAGGTTATTGCGATTTTCTTGTTGCTGGGTGTCGCCAATGAGCTGCTAAATGTTCTTCTTGCGAGTTGGGATAGAAAACAGAGTGAAAATGCTCAGCAGCTGGTGCAGTTTAGGCCAGACACTACCAACTCGGTGCATTCCTCATCTTCTTGATATGTTCATATCCATTGCAACGTTTGCTTCATACCAGCGTTTCTTGCCTAGAACTTGCCGCCATCTCCAATCTCTGTGAGCTTAAATAGCCATGGTCAGTATAGCAATAGTAGCATAGAAAACTAGAGGGGAGACTCGCCATGTAGCCACATACTGGAAGCCTGCTCGTCAATAAGAATCGCTTGAAAATTATCAACCGAAGGCTGTTGGGGCTAATAATCCGAATGTGCGTGAAGGCCCGCGGGCTGGAGGGAAAGTCTCATTTTCCGAGGTCGAAGTGATTTGCAGTTATGCCTTTGCCTAAAATGGAAGGCGCACTGTGATGCAATTCGTTGTATAACGATTGGTTTGTACAAGGCAGGATATATTCTATTTACAAACACCAGTGGTCTAAGTCTAAACGTGGAAAATTCCACCGGAGTAGTGTCAACCTGACGGCTCACTACATGGGTAAACATCTAACCAGTTCGCCCTCATTTCATCGTACTGTCAACTAGCTCGCGGTAGATCTTTTTGAGATCAGCGATATCAGCGTTGAGTTCGTCAACCTGCTCGCTTTTCTCGCCCAGCATCTCAAGAGTAGTCTGGTAGCGCTGGTCAAGGTCTTGAAGTTCAGCTTCGAGTTCCTGAACGCGGGAATCCGAGTGATGCTTCTCTTCGAGCTCACGCATGAGGTCCACAACTTGTTGCCGGGCTTCATCGCGCTGGGCTGTCACGCGTGCCAACTCGTCTTTGGAGCCGGCGCGCTCGCTTTCTAGGCGGCGGACTGTGGCACTCATGCGCTCGACCAGTTGCACAGAAGGGCCAGCGCCAACAGTTGATTCGGAGATTATGTCGTTGATGCCACGCGAGGGAGGTGCTTGGGTGCCGCCGTACGCTGAGGGGGTGGCAGGAGTACCGGAATCTTCGAAATACTCATCGGGCTCAAAGCTGATGGAGGGCGCAGCCATGAGTGATGAAGTGGTGTTGATGTGTGGGGGAGAAAGCGTGGCTTGGGTGATTGAGGCAGGGTAGGAGTTTTGCCGAGGCGGCGTGCCAATTTCTGGTGATGCGAAAGGCATAGTAGATGAGCGTCGACTAGGAGGGCGGAAATCCGGTAGCCCTGGGTTCATGGCTTCGAGAGTGCTCGATCGCCGCAGGGATGCAACGGGTGATACTCCGCGCAGCTGCGACGGGGAGTTCACCTGCTCTCTCCACTTGGCTCGCTCCTCCTCGAGCTTCTGCGCCCACGTTGCGTCGCATGTCTTCTTTTGCTCGGCCATGTCCTTCTGCGTTGAGGCGAGGTCCTCGCCCGCTTTCTCGAGTTTCTGTTGTAGCTTCTGCAGCTCTTCCATGCGTTCCTCGAGCCTGCTCTCCAAATCGTGCTCGGCTTCTTTGGCGTTGTCTAGTTCCTCTTCGAATTTCTTTAACTTCTGGGCCTACATTTATGTTGTTAATCTCGCGGACTTCAAGGTATGGAACTTCAGATCTTACCATTTCTCGAATCTTCTTGCGAAGATCGACCTCACGTCGACCAGTATCATCACGTTCTTTCTCCGCGCTAGCTAGGCGTGAGAGCAAGGAGCCCTCTAGTGTATGCCAGTTTTCACTAGCAGCAGCATATTGGGTTTGTAGGGTCTCGATCTGGCGCAAAAGTTTGGCCTGTGTCTCTCCCGTTGCCCCCGATGAAGCTTCCTCGGCGCGGGAGCGAAGACTTTCCATCTTGCTTTCCAAGACAGACTGTTCGCCTTTCAATTCGGCCTCGAGCATTCGAGCCCTTTCTTTCTCTTGCTCCACCTTCTCCTTCAGCTCAGTAATTTCCCTCTTGGATTTTTCTTCACTGATGTCGCGCTCAATCTTCAGGTTGCACAGCTCCTCGTCTAGCTCTGTCACCCGTTGCCTCTCCAGCTCTAGGGCATCAGAGTTCGCCTTTGCCTCGGCAGTTTCGGCGCGGGAAACCGCGCGACTCAATTGCGATTTTATTTCTTGGACAGTCTGGCTGAGCGCATTGCGTTCATTCGTAACAGCTTCCAAGTCTTTAGCCGACTTTGTTTGGGCTGATAAAGACTCGGTCGCCCTCTTCTTTGCGGCCTCCGCCCGATTGGCTCTTGCTTCAGAGTTGACCAAGTCTCGTTCAAGCTTGTCTGTTTTTCTCTTCATCTCAGTTTGAGATTTGATATTTTCGGTAAGTTGCTGACGCAATTTCTTGATCACCGTGCGGTGGTCCATCTCCGACTTGGACAGCTTGTGCCCTTCTTCAAGGAGCAATGCAATCTTCTCATCTTTCTCTAGGAGTTGCTTTTGCACACTCCCTGGGGCAGCGCTTGCCGCGGCATTTTTAGCCGATTCCGCGGCGTCCTTCGCGAGATATTTCAATTTCGACTGCAATGCATCAATACGTTCAATATAACCATGCATTTCTTCTTGCCATTGAGACTCGGCAGTTTTATGTTCAGCCTGCAAGCGAGCGATATCCGGGTTTTCACCCTCCGGTACCTCTGATGGCGATTCAACACTAACTCGCGGACTATCCCTCGAAGCAACGTCATTCAGTACTTCATTGCGTTGCGAATCGGACATTTCTTGACTAGCTTTAGTCGAGTCGGTTGATGGTTGAGGTAGGTCTATAGAGGCCCTAGGCGCGGAGTCTGCGACACTGATGTCCGTTGAAACACGCGGTGATACACCAGAGTCGTAGCTTACCCTCGGTGAGGCTACTTTCGCTGAATTGCTGTCGTCATTCGACTGAGAGATCTTCGGGTCATCCACCACACTATTGACCGATGCAACGCTGGAATCAATGTCCATACTCGATCGAGCTCCATTGCTAGGTACTGGACTAACAGGCGGTGATGAGACTCGACTCTGAGGGGATTGGGAAGAGAGATTCGAGGCATTTTGCTTCACCATAGCTCGGGCTAGACGTTCCTGGAGCCGGTCATTTCTTCGCGCAGTCGATGAACTGCGGGAAACCGCTGGAAGATGTTAGCCAGTTCTAACAGGTGACAGTGTTGTGGATTTCATACAAGCAACAGCAGCCTTTGTCGGTGGTGCTTCTCCGCCCTGGGTTCCAGTGGGCTTTGCGTTAGAGCCCGTCTGATTTCCATCCTCATCCATCAAGATGTGATCCAGCCGAGACTCGACCCCGGCTACTGCTTGCTGGAAAAAAGAGCCCACTCCCCATTTCTGTTTTGGTGCCTGCGAGTTCTGCGCCATCGTGGCAGAATCACTGTATGAAAATTGCGAATAGGCTACTAAGCGGCAAATGCCTCGTGTCGCAATCGCATGGATTCGGTGGAGGTTGCGCTCGGACGTCGACTTGTTGCGATTCTCGTGGGGTAACTTTCAGGGTCGATTCGATGACGAATCTTGATAGATATGCTGAGGCTTAGATGGCAATGGCAAGGACTTGCTGCAAGGGCGAAATGAGAGAGGTGGCAGGATTTAAGCCGAATTCATAGTACTAGGCTGAAACAAGACAAAAGATTAAGTCGCTGAGCAGATAAGCCAGTGAGCGCAAGCCAAGTGGTCAGTAATAGAAGACCTATAGAAACAAGAAAAGACGATAGAAGAAATAGGAAACGAAAACCAAAATAGAGAACGGAAAACACAAGTTGAAGCGCCGCGGTGAGATACCATCGGTCTTGGCACAGGCTTCCGTCATCCCCAAGCTCCCCCGTCTCTCTGGACACACCTCCAGTTTGTATCATTCACAGCCAGCGACACTCTTTTTCCTGGCTCCTAATCTCCAAGATTACATTCACAATGTCACTGGAGCCACCCACCTACCTCAGCTCTCTCCAGAATAACATTCGAGCTCGCCCAATTCCGTGGGAGGGTGCCGTCCGAGCGGGCAACATCACCGATGACCACTTGAAGAAGATCAAGGCGGTGGATAAGGTGCGCAAAGACCAACGCCGCCAGACGATAGAAGGAGATCTTTCTGGATACACAGAGCTGTTGGCCGGTGGCGCACAGGGAAAGAGTGTCTTGGACTCTGCCTCTAGAAGGACTGATATTGTGCAGTATATACTGGTCCTAGCCTCGGACTTGATTCAAGGTAAATGCTACTGGCGGAGTTGAAGTTACAAGGAATTACGCTGATCTGATCTTCAATAGATGTGCCTTCTCTGGCCAGCTCGCTTGTTTCTCACCCAGAACCGTACAAGCCCTTCCTACCGTTCCTGCAGCACTCGACAAACGCTGAAGATCCCATTCCTCTGCTCACGTCCACCTTCCTCACGGCACTCGTGTCGCATAGTCTCGTTGCTTCATCCAAACCTGCACCGCGCGACAACGAGGCTCTCCCACATCTCTATACCTATCTCTCTACCTTAACTAAGAACCAAGACAGTGGGCTCCAGGACATTGGTGTTCAGGGATTCTCAGAGCTGCTGAGAACAAGCCGAGCTCGAGAGATCTTTTGGGCGCAACGTCAAGAGGCCCTGGCCCCCTTGATCGACACACTTCGAGCTGCGGCAGGTGCTAAAGACAACACAACCAACGCAGGCACACTGGGAAGCAGCACTCGCAGCGTCGAACCTGGTCTCGCCGGTGGTGTTGGCCTCCAGCTTCTATATCGGGTACTCCTTGTTTTGTGGCAGCTTTCTTTTGAGGGTGCTCTCGTTGGTAATGAACTTCAAGAGTAAGTGATGTGACCACAAGCGATCGATTTACACTCCGCATCCTAACCCCGCTTAGGAACTATGAGATTATCCAACTCTACACCCACCTTCTGCGTCTCTCGCCGAAAGAAAAGACCACTCGCTTGCTTCTTGCAACCTTGTATAATCTTTGTTCCAGCAACCGGACCACTCTGCTACCCATCGCCGTTTTCCTTCGACTCCCCGCCCTCCTCGTCAACTTGACTGGTCGTCACCTGACCGACCCTGATCTGCTTGAGGATCTCAACGCGCTCTCTTCCATGTTAGAAGAGTACACCAAGACACAGACCACCTTTGACGAATACGCCGCCGAAGTTCAGTCGGGCCATCTGCGCTGGTCGCCCCCTCACAAGAACCCGACCTTCTGGAAAGATAACGCTCGACGAATTGTTGAGGAGTCAAACGGCGCTTTGCCCAAGAAACTGGTCGAGATTCTGTCTAAGAGTTGGGATAACGACAAGCAGGTCCTAGCTATTGCTTGCAACGACGTAGGGCACCTAGTGAAAGAAGTTCCTGAACGCCGTGGGCAGTTAGAGCGACTAGGCCTAAAGACGCGAGTGATGGAATTGATGGTGGATTCGGATGAATCAGTAAGGTGGGAGAGCTTGCACGCCGTCGGCGAGTGGCTTCGATATACTTTTGAGGGCTGATCCATCGAGGACTCTTCTGATATGTTGATGGCTTTCCGGGATGGACATATACTCTGGTTAGCATGTACTGTGTATTTTCTTGCCATAGCGCATACTCGCGTCCTGTTTTTTTTCTTGGGGATCTTAGAATCATACTCATCTATGTCATTCATGGCCCACTGTTTAGTTTCTGATATTCCAATACCCCACAACGGTGGATCTTGCGGTCGACCGCTAAAGAACCCAAGACGTGCAACGGTATAAGACTTGATAATCCCTTGATTTATCTCTATAGAATCCAATTTAATCACTTTCAATCGCTGTTCTCCAGAAATTATATTTGCCACGCGGGCGGGTTAGATACGGGGAGCTTTCCCCCGCAGGAATTCTTCGAGAACATCATTCCACCAACCCGCACCCATGTCGAGATCCTTCACAGGTTGCAAGAGATGTAAGGCACGGCGACAAAAATGTGACGAGAAGAGACCAAACTGTGGGCGCTGCCAAACCGCAGGTGAACAATGTCAATATGCAATGCAGTTGCAGTGGGGTGGACGGGCGTTCTCGCGATCCCGGTTTGGTGCTTGTGTCGGCACAGGAGGCATGCATAGACTCGGTATGTACTTTATATCAGAAGCTTGTACATAGTTCTGACGATTTCAGAATATTCCCCAGGAGAGTTTATCTATACCACCAAGAAAGCGGGCCAGCCAGCCAGCACCAGAACCAGATCAGATCTCACACTGTCGCAACCCGTCGATCCCTTCTCGTCCTTGTCGTCTAATCAAAAGGCACTGTTACACCATTTTATCAACGATGCCTCTCAAATTACTGCCTGTCATTCGGGAATGCAACAGGACATATGTCGTATGCTGATCCCAATGGCTCTTCAGACTCCCTCCTTACTCTACGCTACCACCGCCCTATCCGCAATCCATATCCAAGCCTTACACAACCAGTCGGAGAGTGTAAAATCAGCACCGGATATTGCCCGGCTAATGGCTCTCAGTCTTGAACATTTCCGAACAGAGCTGCAGAATCCTTCATCAAAGGACCCGGAGGCGCTGGTAGCCACAGCTCGGACGCTCTGTCTGGCTGAGATCCATTCTGGGGCGATCGATCCGAACTCCTGGAGAGCACATATTGACGGGGCGAGAGCATTGATGAGTTCATCTGATGCCGCTGGTGATGATTCGCTACGGTCTACAAGTGGTTTCCGACGGTATTTGGATCGTTGGTATTGGTCGATCGTGTCGCTTACGGCACTGACAGGCAATGGTCCACCCATTGGAGATATTTCGGACTTTGCCTCCTCTGATTTGATGGGGCTGGGCGAGTCTCCTGATTATTTAGATGACTATTGGGGTTTTAGTGTAGACCTCGCGGCTGTGTTTAGGCAGATTGGTGCTGCCGCCTGGCGCAACCATCAAGTCGAGAAGTCTACTCAGGACTTCGTTGCAGGAGAGATTGACGGCAGTGTCGAAGATGATGCTGCTTCCTTGGAGTTCGCAGTTCGACAGCTCATGAATCGTGACTCAAGTTCGCAGCCCTCGTTTTACCCCAGGGCCGCAGAAGGCTTATCTACGGAGACCGCGCAGCAGCTCTTATTGTGCAATGAGGCATTTCAACACAGTGCGCTTATTCAGATCCACCGACGACTTCGGAAAACACCAACTGCGTCGCCGGAAGTGCAGGAGTCGGTCCAGCGTATCCTAGAGTGCACGGCGCAAATTGGGCCATCGTCGGGTCTCTCGCCGTGGGTGATGTTAACGACACCAATATTTATTGCGGGTTGTGAGGCGCGTGGTGAAGATCGCGATATTGTCAGGCAACTGCTGTCGTCCTTGCATGACACCATTCGTGTTCCCAACGTTCTTCAATCATTGAAGTTCCTTGAGCAGTATTGGTCTAACCAACTCAGCGAAGATGAAGACTGGAACCAGTTTCTCGGTAAGAAAAGAATTTAGTCATTTCTTGTGTCTTATTGCTAATATCTTTCCAAAGAACGAATGCAGTTCGATTTCATCCCTTACTAGCGAGGCGAGATCCTGTTATGCCTCATGTGCAATGATTCATACTTATGGGTACAGGCCGTATGTACTATCTTTTTCTGCTACATAATTTTCTATGTTAGCAAGTCGGTTTTGGCAGAGTTACGGAGTGCATACCTACATAATTCAAGCCCTGGCGTTTGGAATCGACTAGCGATATATACCTTTTAGCAATTACACACAATATGTCTTTACCTCTTAGACTGCGCAACACTAACGTTGTTTGGCTAGCTCTAGTATGTTCCTACAGGATCAAGATCTTCACTTCTTTTTGTGGCAGCAGCTTTATTTAATTAAAGGTATAATATGATAATTTCTCAATAGGTTCAGCGAACAATGATTGAGGACACAAAAATAGGGAACAAGTGGGCTTTGCGAGCATCACTTGAGAACGAAGGTATCCTGCCATGCACTTTCCAAAGGTCCGGGTCCAAGAAGCTCAAAGAAAAGACTCTTTGTAGCAGGAAATTTAAGCCTTGATGGCCGTGCACTAAGTGTGGTTGAAAAGAAAAGATTAGCTGCGATGATAACTTCAAACATGGAGGTTTCACTTACGTCCTGTCCAGCGGGACAACAGGCAATGACACTAGTGCAAGTGGTTCCTTCCTGGGCCTCCTTAGTGATACCTAGTTTATATTAGCATAGTCCCGATAGAAAAGAGTCAAGAGAACGCACCGAGAATGTTCAAGTTCTTAATCAGGCTGACTGAGGTACAGGCGGAGTCGCCGGTGCCGATCAAGTTGTTCAAAAGTCCCTCGGCGAGGAGGTTACCGAGGACGCCATTGCCGCTGATTTCCTTCTTAGGGTTGCAGCAAGAGACCTCGCCTACTGTGCAGAGTCCGGCGGCCTGGGAGAAGGAGATCTCCTTAGTCTTAGGCTTTCCGTTTGTGGAAGGCATGGCGGCAGCCGACATGGCGAGGGTGACCAAGGTAGCGATAGTGAACTTCATTATGAAAATGTGACGGAAATATAGACGGATAGGTAAGTGAGAGAGAAAGGTAATAGTAAGAGTGATGTGAGGAGGATGTCAAACTTGGTAATGATTGGAATCAGGTGCTAAGAGCACACTTTTATATGCGAGTGTTTGTGTGTTGTTGAGCAACACTAAACAATAATAGAACTCTGGGCTTGGAATGTCACATAGTTCTAGTTCTGCAATCAAGAGACTGGCATACCAATGCAGATAGATCATCATCACCCCTAGACTTCACCACTTACATTCTTCAATTTCGATCTGTGCAACCCCACGGATCTACAAGGATTTTAAACTTGATATTTCTACTAAGAGATCTGCTGATAATGTCTGGCTGGAGAATCAGGCTCCATCCTCCGCTTCCGGGGAGCTTAGAATAGAATTCACTACGTGGCGAAAACGTTGCCAAATTATACAATGAGCTTATTCTTTTCGAAACCATGGAGATGGGGACAAATCATTCCGAAGGTGCTAATCCCTTTTTATTGCCATTTGTGGCATTTTGGGAAATGAGTTATATAGGCTTAGAATAACTTTCCTTGTATGGCCCTATTATTTTAGACAGCAACCTATGGGTCCGACGAGGGGAGCCATTAAATGATTAATTATAGTCCCCAGATAAGATCAGCAAGCTATAGGTAGAGTAAGGGAGGCACATGGCCCTTGGCAGGGTCAATCTACGAGTTCCTTGAACCCTTATGGGGCTAATATTTTGACATGTTAGGGCATGGGGTTCTCACCTGATTCACCATCCGAAAGAATAGTCTGCGGGTAGACACAGCAACAGCTATGTTTACTAGTAACCATTGTAAAATACCTCTGAGATTGGCATTAAATCTTTAATTTTCTCGTTATGTACTAGGCCCTCGGGCAACAGATCAATAATCTTGGAAATTGGGTAACATGAGGTATTTCAAAACGTCGTGTCCAAAAAGGTATATTGCAATTTAAAATATTATCTCTTATATCCATCTATGGATGGACTCCATACTGTCAGCTGTGATAAGCTTGAGTGAGACAGTTTGTTCTGCAAGGGAGCAGAGCTCCTGAACCTCCCCTTGTTCCTTTCTCTTTCCCCTCCTATTCTTAGTAATTTGAATAAATTCTCATGCGGAGTAGTCATTTCCTTAAGCTCTGTCGATCGACCTGATAACAGTAACGCAGTATCGCAGTGACCGCCGGAACTTAAGTTGAACCCCTAGACTTGGTCAGTAGGAATGTAGGTGGAATCTTGGCAAAACAAGGATCGATCAGTGTTAGTACTCTATGTGTTGATTCTAACCACAACACTAAAGTTATGTGGCATTCTAAGCATAGAGCTTTTTTCCTCGGGGATTATGGCGTTCAGCCACGCTTACTTGCTATGACTTCAAGCTCATTTAAGAATATAAAATGGTATTTTCAGGACCTACTACAATCATAATAAGGACAGTGGAGGCGATGGCATACTCAGGAACCTCCTAGCTGAGGGCCTGCTAACAACTCGCTCGGCCTAAGCAATTCTCCATGTGCCTCCCAGAGCCTGACCAAGAATCTGAATATTCTCGGTATGTTCTCGAATGTTTTCTTCATACTATACAGATATATTGTTCTCTATGCCTAAAAGCACAGAAAGGGGCATAATCTCTAAATCATAGCTCCCAGGGTAGCTATTCCTGTTGTTCGAGGAAAGGACTTCAATTGACCAGTTGACATCCGGTTTGTTTACAGAATGCTATAATGATTTGAGGGGATAAAATTCAAAGCATGTCCAAGGTAGTATTCAGGTAAAAGAGGTTCAATGGTGAGAATTTAGTTGATTCGGTGTTTCGAAAACATCAGGCCAAGCTGTGAGGTCTTGGAGGTAACTAGTCAATAAAATCATTATTCATCGTAATATATAACTTTCTACCTGTGCCTGTTCCCCAACCTTAGAATAAACCTTCAGGAAAGCGAACGCCCCAACTAAAAATATATACTTCGTCCAACCGTTTAGGAGAAGTTCGCTGTAGTTAATCTTTGGGCTTCGAATAGTGCATATATATACCTTCTAGAGCACGGTGTCACCAATAATATCCACCATGTAATTTCCAGTACAAAAAGTATATCTCACTACTATTCTCGGATTGCGTAAAGTCTTCGGGTCTGGATAAATTTAATGGATGGAAAATAGTAAGTTTTATTTCTTCGGAGTACTAACAGCGCATATCCCGTTTCGGTAATGGAACCCTTCAAGTTTATAACATCAGCCTAGGTTACATTTTTGAGGATCCATTGGAATACATCAATACTCTTCAAAGAGAAGTATAAATTTTTCAATATGACATCTTATCCAAAGGAACCAACTTATATAAAATTATCATCACTTATAAAAGTGGTACGTCTCGAAGACTACTTCGGGAGGCATATTAGCAACTCCAACTATCAACATCCAGCTCTGATAAGAACAAGCATCTTCAAGGTGTCGCTAGACATCAATAATTACTTATAGCATCCTCTATAGAGGCACTCCAGGCGGCTTGGAGAAGGATGGATCTCTCAAAATACATAATCGCTGTCTGGGAGGGGAGGCATGTCATCACTTCCAAGGCTAGGTGTTCCCACCTGGATCACATGTTGAAGAATAAGGTTACATTAATCGCAAAATTGCAGGCCAAATCAAGGGTTGTTCGAAAGTACGAAACCGCTAGTGTCATAGTCGAGCAAAAGGGTTGCCTCGAGCGGAAAATTGAGTAGGTCGGGTGAACTCCACTATTCTTGAACCTGCATGAACCTGTTTGAACCTGCACAGACGTTGGCCAAGATTTCTGTCAAATTCGGAAATTTAGGCCATCACGAGTGGATCTGCCTCCGGTATGAAATGCGGCTCCAGATCGGCAGACACCGGCGCAAGGGGGTACCAGATGATTGTAACCATCCTGGTCCATCCAACTATATCAAAATGATCAAAATGATCATCAAGCGATCAACAAAAGGATCAACAAATGATCAGCAAATAGGTAGCCTAGTTGCATTACCACATGATAGCAAGGCTGATTGCCTTTCAGCGGAATGAAACAAGGAGTGCAGTATAATGGGTGGCATTCACTGCCTAAGCTAAACACTCCGAGAGGCAGAGAGAGAAGCCCGGAGGCTTCATCTTCCACAACAGACATCAACCGTTCCTCTTCAAGATTCAGGTACCAATCCAAGTACCGATAAATCAACCCCTTCAGGTACCCCTGGGCGTGCCGGCATTTCGGTAATACCTAAACCGGAAGAATGCAGGTATCATCCAGGTGCTACAATGATGGATCCGTTGGCATGCTGACCTTGATTGTAAAATTTAATTACGTGGCATTCCGACCTCACCAATTAGAGTATTTGTGGGTGTTTAGCTACACTAACAAGCTATGACTTCAAGCGAAGCTAGGAATATAAAAGGGTACTTTGAGGACCTGATTCTGCAACAGCCAACATCCTCCTATTAATCACAAGCCTTCCAAACCTTCTTCTCACCCTTTTCAACCGTTTCTACCACCTTACTTTCACAATGCAGTTCACTCTCGCTACCCTTGTCACTCTCGCCGTCTCGGCTGTGGCTATGCCTTCCGCTTCCCAGTCTAAGGGTCTTGCTCTCTCCAAGGCTGCCGGCTTCTGCCAGGCTGGTGAGATTGCCTGCTGCAACCCTAAGAAGGAGATCAGCGGCGATGGCATTCTTGGTAACCTCCTCGCTCAGGGAGCTTTGAACAACTTGCTCGGCGTTGGCGATTCCGCCTGTGCCTCCCAGAGCCTGATCAAGAACCTGAACCTGCTCGGTTAGTTACTTCTATTATTATTACCTTAAGATTATACTAATATATACTAGGTTTCACCGAGGAGGGCCAAGAGGGCACCACCTGCAAGAACGTTATTGCTTGCTGCCCCGCTGGACAAGACGTAAGACACCCTTACTTTGCTCAACACTTCAAATTACCACGGGTACTAATGTTTTTTTCCATTTACAGTGCAAGGCCATCGAGCAATAAATTCTCTAGCGAGGAAATTGTAACGAATTGGGGACTTTTGCCGGTTCGTTAGGGTTGTTGGTTGTCGCAGTGAGAATTCTAGATTGGGCTCCTTCTGTGTACCTCTACTTCGTGATAAAATGCACCTATTTGTTCCGGCCACCTATAATAATAGACTGGCTTGGGTGGCCGTGAAGTATCAACACTTATTCTCCCTTACAGTAAAGACTTGGATTTTGAAGTAGTACAGATACATAGAATCAGTACTCGAACCTTTTAGGCGCCCAATTAATAATTACGAATATATTTCACGACAATTTAGAGCCATAGCTGACAGTAATACGCAGTAAGATAATATATGGCTACTTTTCGTGGAAAAAATGACAAAAGCAAACGAACACCAGCCGGCCACACCCAAAACACCATATACTAGATGCGAATTAGGAGAACATATTATCTCGAAAGTCACTTTTTTTGTTCTATTTTATAGTTAGCCGATAGCTATGGTATTTCTAATCATATATTACAAAAAGTAGAAAATTGAAAAGCTGCATCATCGTATTGTCAATTGCGTGCTCAAAGTCCGAAATATATATATATATATATATATATATATTGTAATCACAAAGTCATAATATTTCCTAACTCCGTAAAGAACCTAGATGTCACCAAAAGAACACTAGGCTATTAGGAAAGCTACAGACTATCGTATTTAAGATATCAAGTTCAACTCCGCATCTTCTAGGTATTACGGTAGTTACTTTGTTTTGGTCGCCTAAAATATTTTGTGTTATGCGGCAGGCAAGAATCTTTTATAAAGCCCTGGCAGTGACAAATAACCAATCAACTGGGCTTGTGGTTTAGTGGTATAATACTCCCTTAGCATGGGAGTGGTCCAGGGTTCGATTCCCTGCAAGTCCAGATCTTTTTGTTTTTGTTTTTGGTTTTTTTTTTGAGTCAATCTAAAGTTGATGAGTCATATTAATAATCTTGGCACGGTTTTAACTAAGGGTCGGAGTCGGGTAGTTTATAACCCTGGAACATCGTAAAACTCGTAAAACGCCATCCTTCTGAGACGTTGAGCTTTTTGATTGGTGCAGACTCTTGAATAATTTATAATACTCAACTCCGAATCCTTTGGAAAGCACTATAATTCCTAAGACCTCGGACTTTAGATTTGTAACGGACTTTAGAGTTTTCAAAGATTATAAACCCGATATAGACAACTTTGGAAGGTTGAGCCTCAAGTATATATATAGTCCTATCTATCTTCTGATATTTCATTTAATTCATCTACTTTGCTTATACTTAAGATTATATCTCCTGCCCTTTATACTCCGATAAGAATGGAGTCTGCCATTCGAGAGGCCCCATTCGGGCAGCTTGTTCGTCTTTTGACAAACAATAAATACTTCCAATATCCCGAAGAAAAGCCTGGTTTCAAGCTTCCTGACACATGGATCAAATCGTTAAATCTGAACGGAGATGAAAGCGATGAAAAGAATATCACCCGACTAGACTCCAACCAAAGCAATGACAACAGTGGTACTTTAACCCGGGCCTCTACAGAAGTATCTATGCAATTCACCGAAGCTCGCCTCGAGGCCGACGAACAACATGAAATCGAGAAACTCAAATCCATCCCCATCGCTCCCAAGAAAACAGAAGACGGTTCCATCCTCGTTGATTGGTACTATACCGATGATCCAGAGAATCCACACAACTGGTCCAATGGCAAGCGTGCTCTCATAACTATCATGATCTGTCTATATACCTTCGTCGTGTACACCACTTCTGCTATCTACACCTCCTCAACAGAGGGTATCATGAAGGAGTTTGGTGTGAGCACTTTGGTCTCTACTTTGGGCTTATCACTTTACGTTCTGGGATATGGTATCGGGCCATTGGTCTTCTCTCCACTGAGTGAAATCCCCACAATTGGACGCAATCCAGTCTACATCGTCACAATGTTCCTCTTCGTGATCATCTCCATCCCAACAGCCTTGGTGGACAACTTCGCCGGCCTGATGGTGCTGCGCTTTCTACAAGGCTTCTTTGGCTCGCCCTGTCTTGCATCTGGTGGTGCTTCCATCGGAGACATGTATAGCCTAATGTCCCTACCTTATGCCATGATGGCCTGGGTTTCTGCCGCTTACTGTGGACGTACGTTTCCTTCCCCTTCAACCATCCCAATGTCCGTATACTAACAAGACTATACAGCCGCTCTCGGTCCTCTTCTCAGCGGCTTCGCCGTCCCCGCAAAAGGCTGGCGCTGGTCCCTCTTCGAATCAATCTGGGCCTCCGCCCCAGTTTTCATCCTGATGTTCATGTTCCTCCCAGAAACCAGCAGCGCAACAATCCTCCTCCGCCGCGCCAACCGTCTCCGCAAAATCCACAATAACAACAACTTCCAATCGCAATCCGAAATCGACCAACGCAGTATGCAAATCTCAGCTGTTGCCATCGACGCCCTAATCAAGCCCATGGAAATCACCATCAAGGATCCAGCCGTTCTCTTCGTCCAAATCTACACAGCAATCATCTACGGCATTTACTATTCCTTCTTCGAGGTCTTCCCCCTAGTCTACCCAGTCGACTACCACATGAACCTCGGCCAGACCGGTCTCGTCTTCCTCTGTGTTATGGTTGCATGTCTTATCGGCGTCGCCAGTTACGCCAGCTACATCTACTTCTGGATGAACCCCCGCATCCGCCGCTTCGGCTTCCCCCAGAATGAGAAACTTCTTATCCCCGCCCTGCCCGCCTCGTTTGGTCCTCTCATTGGTCTTTTCATCTTTGCTTGGACGGCTCGTGCGTCTATTCATTGGATTGCGCCGACTATTGGTATCACCATCTATGGCGCTACGGTTTTCATCGTCATGCAGTGCATCTTCATTTATGTTCCGCTCACTTACCCTAAGTACGCGGCTAGTCTGTTCGCTGCGAATGATTTCTTCCGCAGTGCGCTTGCGTGTGGCAGTGTGCTGTTTGCCCATCCCTTGTTTGGGAACTTGGGTGTTGCTCGGGGTGTTAGTCTTCTCGGTGGTTTGAGTGTTATTGGTATCATTGGTATCTGGTTGCTTTACTTCTATGGTAGCAGACTTCGTGCCATGAGCAAGTTTGCTACCTAGAGAAAGGTGGAATGAGTGTCTTTCGGTTATTTACGATTTTAGACGACAAGTTGGTGCATGATATTAATGGTGATATAGAGATAGAAAAGAGGCGCTATATTTAGCGACAAACATACATAGCGAATTAATGAGAATACTAGAATAACTCTATATAATATCCCGAGCGCTCTTTGTTCTTTGAATAATTGTAGGGTTCTGATATACGGCATGGAGAGAAGTAGTCATATCCTTTCTCTTCCGGCGTGATCCAGATTAGAAGATTCTCGAACTCAGAAATTACGGGTCATTCCTAATGGTGCTTAGCTTGCAATAGTCCGGAGCCTTCTAGGCAGCACTTGAAACGTTAGTGCTACTAGCATGCATGTGTGAGGTCTACCCATCTTAGGTGGTTAACTTTTATAGCAGAATAAGCCGTACTATACCATATCGTTTTATAGGTCGGAATCAAGAGGTGATGTAATAAGTTTGATTTGATTATTCTAGAAATATCTTCTGAGACGATAATTGGGATTTCCGACCTCCAGCTTGTGTTTAACCACAGAGAGAAGTTATATTCTCAGGGAAGTAAGGGCTCAGGATATCAATCAGCTCCGAGAGAGGGACCCAGTCAAGAAGACCATGGGTGCTTCGAATGGGATGACCACTGTACAAAACCCGGGCGTAGAACGACTTCCCATGCTTTTTATCTTTTGTTTCCCTAAAAACCCATTAGACAGTACCCCAGCGTACCAAAAAGAAGCGACTTACCAAACTTCAAAAGCAATGTTGGATGCCATACCAGGCCAGCGAAGGGTTTCGATTCCCAAAGCACCTAGAATAGGACCGATATCTCCGTCATGAATAAAGACGTGGCTGTAATCAAGGGAAGACTTCCCATCCAGGACAGCTTGCAGACGAGAAATAATCTCGCCAATAAACAAGCCCTCGACAAGCTGGATGTACTTGACTACCTCCGGGTTCGAGCGCCAGTAGTAGTTCCACTCCCAATCACCAGCACGGAAGACCTCCTCGGCCATCTGCATCGTGACACAAGCCGAGGAATTCGACACACTGCAGGGTAGATCATAGCCATTGCAAAGACGGCCCTGGAAGTTATCCGAAAAGTGGTCAAAGGTGCTTTGCCATGAACTATCTGTCGCGCCCAACATAGCACCCAGCTTCGAGCGCAAATTCTCAGTGACAGCCAGATGCTCTTTCCACTGCGTGGTAGACTTTATACTCGATAGAGTAGAACTGACAGCAGGACAGGAGTATCCCGCATTGACGGTATTGACAGATGAAACCATCTGGTGCAGGGGTAGAGCTCCCTCATAGTGAGGCCACATGCCGCGCAGGACGGTGCCAGCGGAGGCCTGCGTGAGAGCGGACTCACTGGAGCGGAACCAAACGCGGTTGTTTGGCTTCTTGGGGATCAAGCCGAGCTTCTTGCCGTAGACGCCCCACAGGTCCTTACCGTGTTGATATCCGTCCTGGACTCCTCCGATGGTGATCTGGGGGTACTGACAGGTGCCGTTCACGCCGGGCGTGAAGGGGTTGGTGGGATCCTGGTATGTCTGTGCATACATTGGCATGGGTTGCATGCCGCTTGCGCTGTTGGGGCCTGCATAGAGATACGGGCGCACATTGTCGCAGTGATATGCTTGGTTCTGAGGGAAGGAGTTAGTTTGGGCTGATAGTTGATCTGAAAATTGCTTACCTCCCCACCTGGAAGAATGTTGTACGGAGTTCGGCGCTGGTGGCGCTGTAGATATTCCAGGTACACAAGCTTTCCCTTAGTTGAGCCGCTGGTTAGAGCTTCGGGCAGCTTGTATTCCTCTGAACGAGGATGCGGCATAGAACAGTAGTCATAGATGCCGTAGGGGGTGCCCACGGTCGGACCATTGGTTGGAGCTTCATAGACACCACCGTATGTTCCAATCGAGCTGTTGCTGATGTATGATGTGCCATTCAGCGTAGGATAGAAGGTGTCACTTGTTTGACCCAGCACTGAGGTTGCCACGGAAAGCAAGACGAAGCTGCGCATAATGGCGATAGGTTTGACAGAGAGAAACCAGGTTTGTCGGAGATTTTCGAAGATATAGATTTCCGAAGTAACTGCCAATAAGCCTAAGATGAGAAACAAAATGAAGCTCCACCGCAGGCGCACCAGTCGCGACCTAACAATCGGTCCACGTGTTGAGTCAAGCTCAGTGCCAGCCATATGGCCCTATAGCCGACTTTGGGGCTAAATTACTCTCAACTCTTCTCAATTCTCAACATCAAATGAAGTTCAGTTCAGATTTCCCCGAGGGGTTACCGGTAATTGGGTCTTGGCATTGACCCCTGCAGGATAACTCCTTTCGGTAAGCATATATAACACTACATATTCCAGAATTTCCTTTTGATCTGGGTACTTAATTATTGAGTGAACTTTCAGTATTTTCCATGATGTGGAAGACTTCAGTTGTGATGGCCATGGCCATTCCCCTGGTGACTGCCACCCTAGCGGATTTCGCACTTCAAACAGTACTTGACAATGCCACTCCAATATTTGGATCATGCAAAAAAAGCACAGGCGAAAAATCAGAATGGATGAAGAACTATCCCGATGAAACCTTGCTCGTTCATATGAACATCCCCGGCACTCATGACAGCGCCACGTGGAATTATACACAGACGACGCAAGATACCATGCGGGGCATCACAAATCTCAACCAAGTCAATGTTCCAGTACAACAGGCATTGCGATGTCAAGAGTTACCTTTCGTCGACATGCTCGACATGGGAATCCGGGCATTTGATCTGCGATATGCGTTCGACCCGACAAACTCCACCCTCGTCTTCTACCATGCCCAGGCCCTGCTTTCGCAGACAGCCACAGTCAATGATGTACTGTTTGGTTTTTATCAGTGGCTAGATGATCATCCATCAGAGACTATCTTCCTTTCATTCCAGTACCAAGGCTCGACGGGCCTGTACGCCTCCAACAACGCGGCCGTGCAATTGCAGCTCTACAATATCCTCACCTCCCCTGTCGCGCGCCATTATTTCATGCAAACAAAAGACGAACTAGGTACCCTGGGTGATTCCCGTGGAAAGATAACTCTCATGCGCCGTTTTGACCTGGACAAACTTCTAGGTTCTTACACAGCGGCACTCCCCGGCCTGCATTTCTCGCCCAGTCTCTGGACTGATAACGGCGCAGATATTACCCTGATATACAACAAGGCCAAGAGCTTGAGTGCATACATAGAAGACTACTACCAGCCGCTCACGCCGACAGGGTCCAGTGCGATCGAGAATATCAAATGGAAATACAACGCCACAGTGAAAAATATCCACAAAGCCATTACCCGGCATCCGGACAGTCTGTTCTGGACATGGGCTTCTAGTAATAACATTGCAAATGATCCACCCGATTGGCCCCGCATTATGGCACTGGGAAATGGGACTTGCTACACACCAGCTGGCGGTATTAATCAGCAATTAGTACATCTCCTGAAAAGACAGAGAGGCAAGCGAGTGGGGATCGTGATGTTTGATTTCTTTAGCCAGCCCTCCGACCTGATTGATACATTTTTAGAGTTGTGAAATCCAAAGTAGTGGTCTAAAACAATAGTCGCTTATGACTTGTAGGCAGCCACCCATTGTAAAGATCAATACCAACCTTGGGTTGTCCGAGTGCTGATCGATCAGATAAGATCAAAGCTCCATCTGGGTCCACTTCCCTTTCCAGTGTGAACAAGAGGGTCTTCTTATACATTCAAGGTAAATATGAGCTGCGATTGCACACAAGAAAACACACGATGGTTGATTTGTCTATGCAACCCCAGGTAATGCTGTATAAGTATAACAAAATGAGGCACCTTGCACAGCACCAGAGAACGATCACTCGCTAAGATTTGAGTCAAAGTGCAATGCCAATCAAATCAGACACAATGCCCTTGTCCTCAGCCGACGTCAGGCTCTCCACCAGGCTTGACCAGGTTGGTTTATTTCGACCAGAGAGGAAACCCATCTTCCAAGTTTCCCACTTAGGTGTATCCAAAGAGGACACAAGACTAGCACAACGGGCGAGTTCGTGTTTCTCAAGATTATCCTCCTGGTCAAGACATATGCATCTCCATGCATCATCCACCTTATATACATACTCCCAGACATCATAACATTGGCTGTATTTGGTATTCTGCAATTCAACCCAGCCAGTTCGCACCAAATTCCAATCAGTAGGTTTGCAATGTTTTTCCAACTTCTCCCACATCTTCTGTGCGTTTCGAATGTTGCGAACCATTGGCTTGGTAGTAGGGGATAGATTTTTGTTAATGATCTTCCTTGCCACCTCGTTCAGACTGTCTAATTGGTTTCCCAAGTAATGTGATCGAGGACGTTGACCGATTTTGCCATCAACTAAATCCCAAACCAGGTTCTCACTCAGAACAATCTTCATTTCGCGGCGCCAGACACGATAGTCGGATCGGCCGCGTAGAGGTGGACAGTCGCATTCTATTGTAAAATTATCATCCTCGGATGCACTTCTTAAGCTGAAGGCGCGTTCGGCCGATAACTCTGCTGCGGGGATTGTTCGGGGTATGAGGTCTCTAGGACTTTCGGGCGTGATAGGTGTAACAACTTTATCAGCGAAGTAAAACCGACGCCTCTTTGTGGGCGAGCTTAATGGTTCATCTTCCGGGTGTTCTTGCTCCGAGAGGGCTCGCTTTGTCAATGGTGTTGAAGAAGTCATGGTGTTGATTATTGACAGCAGACCTAACTTGGCAGATAAGGGAATCTTCGCCACAGGTCAAAGTATGGCAATGAGAATTGACAAGGAATGTTGTTTATCAGAGAAGCATTGAAATGTTGATGTATGACGTCGCTGACTGGTTATGGCAAACGGTGATCTATCCTTGTTTTGAAAGGGGCAGATCACTTGTTTATATGCACAAGACAGAAGTATGTGCTTCTATGATATTATCTATGACATTATCAAGAAAGGCTGGACACTCAAACATGCAGCCCTACATTCCTTGGCAAATTCAATCAAGAGACAGTTGACATTTTGGATACACCTTCCCCCTTTCCACACTATATTGCTATTATGAATCCCTCGGGCCTATGGAGAAAAGTTTGCCTATCTCTCCTCTTATAGGCGATTTTTTTTAACCTTCGAAAATTGTGTATTTGAAATGTCGAGGCGTAGCTCGCCAAGCTCCCTGAGACATCGGTATTGCCTGGACGTAACTGCAAAGCACCTATACCACGCGCTATTTGTCAAAGGTTTCTCATCGCAAGACAAAGGATCAATTATCTCCATTGTATTGGAAGCCATAAACTATGATTGATTTCAAAGGGATAGCAAAAGCTAGAAAAACCTGTTTGTTCCTCTTCCCCATACCCACTTACATTCCGCGCAACTTCTTAGAATTTCGGAATTCTGCCGTCGCATATACTCACTTTTGGCTCAAACGCCAACATACCGGCGACTGTAGTACTTTGCAAAGAAGTAGCGGAAGTAGGAGTCGCCGCACTACCGGTCCCACTTTATATCGAGGTAGCTGTAGATGCACTCTAAATGGATGTAGGGGTCAAGCCAGCGGAAGTAATCATGGCAGACTTCGTTTCTATTTGCGCTTTGGAAGAGCTAGTCGTTTGTTGACTCAGTTGGAACCTTGATATTGAAGTTCGGCAATTCATTGTAGATAGGATTATCGTTGTTAAAACTAAATAAGATATAGTAACTGTCAGTGTTCGAGTGCGCTCACATTACACTGGAATTTGGATTCACTGCTCTCAGTGTCGGCTGAAGATACTCGTTTAGTCATCGACACAACGCTCCAGGGCTTCAGGGCTAGATGGAATGAGCCAATATTATATTGTGCTCACTGCTGATAGTCGCCACATATTCTGTGATATAGGGGCTTTCGAGGGGTTTCAGTTCAATATGATCGGGCCGAGTGGTCGTGGGTTGACAAATTCCACTCGACGGTGTAAGCGATACCGGCATAGATGGTTTCACCCTTGGTATGGTGGTTGGGTAAAATTTGGAGGGGAAGTCGAGTCTTACTCGGTACCATCATTTTGAGGTTGACTGCACTATTCGAGAAGTCCCCCAGAAGGTCCCCAAACTTCCCAAATGTTAAAATGGCCATTCAATCACCAGAGTGATCGAGACCTATCATCACTCATCCTCGTACGTTGGAGCTCATGTCACATAGCCCTAATCCTTTGGCAGCACATAAAAAGATTATTTAGCAAATTTAAAAGATTTATAAAGACATGTAAGGCTTGATCTGATCGTTAGAAGCTGTAATTAATAACCCAAGATTATGCAAGTTCAGACATTGGGACTGCGGGCATGCTGGACCACTGAGGCCGCGTTCCCGCGACGATTCGTCTGAACGTTAAAACATAATCCTCTGGCGCCAGATACTTAAGGGAGCTCAATTCCTTCTCTCTCTGCTGTCTGCAAGATGTATTGCTTGACCTGGATAAAACGACGGATTAGCCATTCTGATATAAATGGATACTCAACTCTAGTGAGGGGCTTACCTTGTCATCTGGGACTAGCTCAATCGCCAATCGACCTTCACTATCCCTCTTCTCCGCCTCTGCTCCAGATTTCAACAATAGGATCGCGGCAGGTCCATGTCCCTCAGAGATAGCGTGGTGAAGCGCTGTGAATCCGTCCCCATCTGTTGCGTTGACAGGACTCCTACCCTCTTCCAAGAGGGCCTTCAAAATAGGCACAGATCCCACCGCGGCTGCTCTGTGTAGGGGAAGTTGGCCACGCTTATCCTTAACTCTGGCGCTGCATTTATTGGCAAGCAAGGTGCGGACGGTGGAAAGATTTGACTTGGAACTTGCGAAGTGCAGCGCATTCTACTAGATAGTAAGTCCATGTGCTCCCAATAGCCAAGTAGTTGTCTCGGAAAGCTGACCTGTCCATTGTTACTTTTCATAGAAACATCAGCTCCTTTTCGCAGTAATAGGTCGATCGTGGCGTCGCCTGCGGCATCTTTTAGGCTAGCTGCAATCATGAGAGGCGTCCAACCGGATCCATCCTATGGTGATTTAGCAAAGTTATATATGATGATGGCAGTAGACTTCAAAAAGGCGCGGGGAATTCTCTTCGAAAATAGAATAGTGATACTCACTTCTACATCTGGGTCGAAATCCTTCATCGCAACTAGCAATTCCACGACCGGGAGGCGGTTGTAGGCCACAGCCCAGTGAATGGGAAGGCGCTCATCATCATCTTTCACGAATGCAGATTTTGGGTTTACCTGTCCCAATAGTTAGCCTTGTTCTTGGAGACTGAACAGTACCAGCGCCAGCTCGATCTTGCGGGGCAGCCTCGGCCCTAGGTGGAGCACAACTCACATTAAGCAACGACTCAACAACCTGGTCTAAGAAGATATGTTAGTATATATTTCTATACAGAGAAGAGCCAAGCTCACTTCTTCCTTCTCGGGCAGCTTCGTGCAGAGCGAACTTCTGATCGGAATCCATGACGACTTTGGAAGAGGAAGAGTGATATTGCGATAAGAGCTGCGATAAGAAGAGGAGCTGAGTCATCAATATGGAGGCCGCGGGGGCTTCCAACCTTGGAAGGTTGGTCCACCTGCTCCTAGCGAAGATATTCTACAACAAAATCGTTAGCTCAACGAATTTATTTCTGCGGGAAATGGAGACCTGGTCCTATGGTACATAAGATACACAGAATGTTCCCATTGTTCTTGTGACCTCAGGTGAGATGTGAAACTACAATGTTGGTATGGGCGTCGCATATAAAAGGTACAATAATATAGGTTAGCCGTAGGTACTGTTACTTGGAATATGTAGTTTGGAGTTTGCCGTTCACATCTACAGGGAGGTTCTTTGTCTTATTTAAGGGACCCTAACACGATGTAAATGGGTATTCTGCTTTTATTGTACATAATGTAAATTTGAGAGCTCACAATAGATCGTCGGGAAAGGACGAATGGTACGAATCCATATATTTTCTAATAAACGTAGCTTATTTATTATGTACATGGAGGAAACTCAGCTGAAGCTCAACCTTTCGAGACCGATACTACTGGCCACCGCTTTCCGCCTCACCGCCCTTTTTGCCAGGTATAATGTGATTGGCGCCTCAGGCAGAAACACCCGGTGCAACTTCGATTCAAAGATTCATGCACATCCTGTGTACCATCTTTAACCATATCTTGCCTTGCAGCTGCTAGAGACGCAGCCTCGGTCTTCAATCAAGTGTGCTTCCAAAACCAGCGCTTAAACTGAAGCTCCGGACTCGATTGCAGCGACGAACCTGCCGCAAGCTTTTTTTCATCTCGCGCACCATCGGATCGTGATTATTTGGAGCTTCTGTCCCTCAAAGGACACGGACTTATTCCACACTCCCCACACCAATTACTTTCGCGCACACAATGGAATACACACCTCAGCCCGTCGATCAGGCGGTGCGCATGTCCGCAAAGCGGACCGCTGAGCTCTTTGGTACCGAACACCTGACGGTCACGCCTTCAACTCTTACAGACGGCTCGATCGGCGTTTCCTACCGACGGAAGGCAGAGTATGAAGATATTATTGAGCTACCACGAGCTCTCGCAGAGAAACAGGCGAAGGCTACAGCCGGCCGGACAAAACGGCCGAAGATTCAGGCGCAGAAACCCGCAGATGGCAGCGGCGCATCCATGTCTCTTGTGAGGCGGCCATCAGGCACTGGAGCAGGAGCAGCCCCTGCTGGGGAACAGCCTACGAGTTTGATCCAGAGACCGTCGGCCACCAAGCAGCAGCGGCCCGAGTGGCACGCGCCTTGGAAGCTGATGCGCGTTATTTCGGGACATCTGGGATGGGTGCGGGCTTTGGCAGTGGAACCGAACAATCAGTGGTTTGCTAGTGGAGCAGGAGATCGGACAATCAAGATTTGGAATCTGGCGACGGGCGCATTGCGACTCACTCTCACCGGTCACATCTCCACCGTCCGTGGCTTAGCAGTGTCACCCCGGCATCCGTACCTTTTCTCGTGCGGTGAGGATAAGATGGTCAAGTGTTGGGATTTGGAGACCAACAAGGTCATTCGACACTACCACGGTCATCTCAGCGGTGTGTACACTCTCGCCCTTCACCCTCGTCTCGATCTGTTAGTCACGGGTGGTCGTGATGGCGTGTGCCGAGTCTGGGATATGCGCACGCGAAGCAACATCCACGTTCTCAGCGGACACAAAGGCACTGTCGCCGACATCAAGTGCCAAGACGCCGACCCTCAGATTATCTCCGGCTCGCTGGACTCCACAGTCCGGTTGTGGGATTTGGCCGCTGGTAAGAGCATGGGCGTTCTGACACACCACAAGAAGGGTGTTCGCAATATCGCCATTCACCCCACCGAGTATACATTTGCCAGTGCCAGTACCGGAAGCATCAAGCAGTGGATGTGCCCTAAGGGCGATTTCATGCAAAACTTTGACGGCCAGAACTCCGTCATCAACTCTCTCGCCGTCAACGATGAGAACGTTCTCTTCTCTGGCGGTGACAACGGTTCCATGTCATTCTGGGATTGGAAGACTGGTCACCGCTTCCAGTCTATGGAGACTACCGCACAGCCCGGCTCTCTTGAAGCTGAAGCTGGTATTATGGCTTCTACCTTTGATCGTACTGGTTTGCGTCTTATCACAGGTGAAGCTGATAAAACAATCAAGATCTGGAAGCAGGACGAAGAGGCCACCCCCGAGACTCACCCTCTGACTTGGGCCCCGACTCTCGGTAGACAACGGTACTAGAGGGATGACCAGCATCACTGGCATTCGTACCCTCTCTTCCAATTTCTCAATACCCTGTATTCATTTTATTTTTTGCCACCAAGTTCTTGTTGGCACTATGTGGAGTTAAGCGCGGTCTGTGGAAGGCTCTTGATTTTAAAAATATTCAAACATGTATCGGAAAAAGTCTCTGAAAGGCTCGTTTCATGCCCCCGAAACTACTAGTCTTAACGCTCTGTATGATACGAACACCAATTGAGCCAAATGATACCCTTGGCAATCGACCACATGGACAATACGTACAAATAGCCTCTATGATCTAGAGCACAGACATAGTTGGACTGAAAGGGTATCATATGCAAACTATTATGCGATATTACACTAACTCCAGGTAATGCGTATCGTATAGAACACCTAAAAGAAAAACCTTGAACATCACTGCTCAATACCCAAACCAAAGCCCTTCGCCTCGACATCCTCCCTGAAAGCGGACCTGACATCTTCCGCCGCAACCCTAAGCCGAACTTTACTACTGCGGTCACCGCGAGTGGGAATCGTAGTACCCCCAAGCACGCTTTTAGAACCAGAGCCTTGCTCCAGCGCCAGGACACCCGAGTTCATGAGCAACATGGCCGCATGGCCCAGGCTCCGCACGCGAGCACTGGGGCCTCCGCCCAGCAAGAAATCTTTCACATCAGCGCCAGCGGCGCCAGCAACGGCGACGGCTGCATCGGCGATGCGGCGAGCTTCGTCTAGGACGTCGCCGAATGTAGATTCTGAAATGCCTGTCCGGTGGACGCGGGCTAGTAGCGCGGCCAGGAAAAGCTTTCCTGATAGTGGGAGACAGCGCAAGGATTGTTGCAGTGGAGTTGACGTAGCTTCGTGAATGGCTTGCTTGATCGTGGCGATAGTCACGCGGCCCGGTTGGCCTTTCGCAGGAGGTTTAGCGACGGCCGATTCCCCGGCCTTGGCTGCGATTGCCTGGCGCCGGGCGGGGGTTTTGCTGGGTGTGGGAGGTAATGATTCTGTCTCGTCTTTGGCCTCATCTGCGGCAGCAGCCTCGTCGGCAGCTTGCTCGGCGATTTCAACCGCTCGACGGCAGATATCCAGAGCTCGTCTAGCATCACCGCTGACGGCGGCTACTTTGCGACTTGCGAATTGGACGGCGTCTGGATCGACGATATTGCCCGGTACACTCGCCAGGCGGGTACTGATGATTTCCATTAAATCTGTGTGACGGTATCCCGGAAATGTGATACGGGTTAAGCCAAGACGACTGGAGATCTTGTTGCTTAAGGTTCTTTCGGGGAGATCCATGGTGTTTGCGACAGCCAGGACAATGAGGCGCGAGTGGCGGAGAGCAGGCCAGTTGAAGAAGTTATACATGACGGACTGATTTTTTGTGACAAGCTGATCCAACTCATCCATGAGCACAACACAAGATACCCGACGAGGGGAGGGATTTGAGAATTCTCTTTCGAGAAGATCCAATGCATGTGAAGGCGATACTCGGTCGCCCTTCAAGGCTTCCCATAACAAAGAGTAGGATTGGTGCGGGTCGGTGACTTTCATGCCGTTAATCTCGACAAAAATGAAATCGTCCATTTCCTCTTCGTGTACGGCACCGTTTAGCTGCGCCACCACTTCGCGTACGGTGGCAGTCTTGCCAGTGCCTGGGGTACCGGAGATATAGATACAAGCACCTGTGCCTTCCATGATTGCAGCGCTAAGATGGTTGTATACAGTGTTGAACTCGGTCTTCCGGCACGGTAATGAATCTGGAACAGTAGAGACGTGTAGCAAATTCCGAGCTTGACGGTAGGGAGAGTCAAAATGTGTGGGTGAGAGGACACGGGTGCCCAGAGGTGTAAACTCAAGCGGCTTTTTGACAACAATCCTACTATATGTTAGTTTCATTCTATGAGGACCATTTTTCGTTGTTTCCTACCGTTTATGGGTCGGAGTCATCAGGGCCTTCTTGCGCTGCGATTGTGGTGTGGCATTCGTTGCTGCTAATCGCTGCCTCTTTCTCGGAGTTGTAGGTGGCACCGTCTCCTTTGTATCAACGTACTGCGATGGTCTAAATTAGCGCTGCTTTGACAATTGAAACGATGTGGTTCAACTCACTTCATCGTCCGCAGCCTTGCGTTTTCTGGAGGCTTTCAAGCCATCCCTGACCCAATCGATCAGATGTTGGATGTTGTCCGCATTGTACACCTGCTCCCAGACAAACTCATCGGTATAACGTCCTTGAACTTGGTTCACACCTCGTCGACAAACAATGCACTTGTGGTATTCCGCCAATTCAGTCTTGTTCTTTGGAGGGCCATTCGGGTATTTGGCACTGAAGGTGCTCTGAGACATAACCGCCCCTTTGCCGCTGATTGATGTCAAGGGGTTGCTATTGAAATCGAGTGTAATGTATTGCTCGTTGAGCAAGGCATCGGTCCGGCGCTTGTTCCTCGTGCCCATGAATTCGTCGGGTGATGCGAACCACATAATATTGGCGGATTTGACAATCTCGTCTTCTTCGTCTTCGTCCTCCTCTTCCAGAAATTCTGTTATTATGCCAACCCAGTCCTTTCCAGCCTCAGGAGATTTCAAGAGAATCACCTCGCCCACTTTGCATTGGAATTGACCCATCTGTGCACCAACGATTTTGCGTTTTTGGCGGGCGGGACGAGAAGGTCGTCTTCGGCTCCGTTTTGCAGGTGTTTCATTGTTAGGCTCAGTTTCCTGGGTAGCCTCTTCATTTGTATCGTAAATCCATTCCCACGGAAGGTCCTCAACGCCTAGTTCATCGTCGGAATCGTCTCGAATGAGAGCACCCTTGGTCATCCATTGGGCGCGTTCGCGGGCACTGCGCCTCTGCGCCGAAGGTTCTGAATCGCTATCGCTCATTGGGGTGCAATAGATGTGACTGGACACATCAACGGAGAAGGAGAAATCGCGCTCGACGCGTTGTCCACTTTCGTCTCTTTTAGGCTTAGTTCGGCAAGGAGGTCTGGCCAATCAAATCCATCGGCCTCACAGTAAGACACCTGGGCAACGACAGCACATTATTCCTAGTTTATGCTCCGTACAAACTACATGTGTACAAGCTGTACATACAATATTCCAACTGTTTCTATACACGTGAAATCAATTCATGGATTTTCTCAAGCTCTTCAAAGACATCCCACTCTGCAGTGTCATACTCAAACTATCGGCACCTTTTCGTCTCAATATCACCATCATGGATTTTATAAATTAGATCTGCTTGTCCGAACTACACATGATTTTGCTATGCTGAACTTCAAGCCTATCTAGCTAATACATGTATATGTCGGTTATTGTGCTCCCTTAAGCATGAGATTCTTGGACAGTTCTAAAATGTCCCAAAGTTGAAAGATTCAGCCGTAAGCTGTTATTGTATTGTGGCACAACTTCCCCCATCAATGTGGTGATCCAAATGCAGGAGCTCACCGAACACAGCTTCAATATTTATGTTGTACAGATCTTGGAGATATCGGAACGGAATAACAAAACTCCGGTGCCCTAACATCCCAACTACAAGATTTGGTTTGTTTTAACTCCTTTCAATTCCCACATTAAATCATAGTCTGTGAGAATTGTAGAAAGCTAGATCTCGGGTGTCCTCATCCATCAGCATCTTCTCATTGGAAGTGGACTAGTTCGATGTGCTTTATGGCTGTATACACCATGGTATTTTTTATTATATACACCCGTACTATGTCATCAATAACTGTAGTTTTACCTACCTGGGTAGGCAACGGATTTGATACATACCTGTGGACTCTTACTTTCTGATGACTTCCCCAGATAAGAAGTGACAGTTGAGTCTCAGTGCACCCACACCGGCGCTGGCGCCTTCCAAATTTGGAAGGTTCTCTTTCCGCGCGACGCATTGCGTTTCTGGTTCCGCGGTTACCTCCAGGGCTACCTATCCTTTACTTTTCTATTACTTCTCTCACATTGCCCGCTTATTTTGATTTCCCGCTGCAATCGACTTTTTATCAGATACATCGCACTTCCATCGACAAGAAGATCTATTTCTTTCGAAATACCCCCTGTCACCCTTATCAGCTTGACTGATTCCGAATAATTCATCCCGTGAGATACAGCTCCAGCCACCGAGCATCCGTGGGCATCTGATTCCGTTAAAATGGCGTCTGTACCCCAGCCCTGCCCGGAGTAAGTATATCTCACACACGAATAATTGCAAGTATGTTTTGCTAATTAATATCGCCAGCTGGGAGCGTCTCAATGCCAAATGTGAGAAGTTATCTCCTTTAATTATGGTTGTATGTACTGACTTTGATAGCATGGGAGCTACCTAACTACGGCCCCGGCCCAGATTTTGGCCGGGGAACCATCTACCGCCAAGAAGAAGATGAGTACGCGGAAAATACAGGTCGTGATTCCGACGATTTTGATTTCGATGACGAGGGTCCTCTTGAGAATGTGAAGTATGACCGCCCCCCCCTGGACGATTCGGCGCACCCGACAAGTTCAACAGCGCCCGTAATTGGCCCTATTCCAAGTGTACCTCCTGTGCCCAAGCAATCACCAATTCCAAGTCAAAGTCTCTTTCAAATTGGACCTAGACCAGGTCGAGCTCAGGCACCAGAGGGACCAATCTTCAATGACCGTGGGCTAAATACCAGCAGTTCCACTACGTTCGACCGACCGAATCATTCGACGCGTAATGTCGGACCGGGTCAAAGTAAGTACGCCAAGAGGGGAGATACCCGAGCATCACGACCACCGTTTCAGTCAAACAAACGCAAAGTTCCTTCAGGTCCTTCGCAACACAGAGGCAAGAATCGATCTAACCCGCCAGGCCAAAATGACTCTTATTCCAAGGCAAGGTGGCGCAAGGGTCTTCCTCCGGATGGTAAGTGTGCCCACATCAACCTCAAGGCCATTATTAACAGACAAATAGCTTCTTATCGTTTGCCTTACGAGTGTCAAGTTTTTCAAGAAAAGTGAGTATATGAAGCTTTACGGTTTGTGGCGCTTAGGACTAACCAAGCCGGTGAAGAACTAGACAAGTAACCCCAGGAGAAGCTTCCAACACCGACTTCCGCCAGAGAATTATCGAGGACACAGGTGCCTATGTGAGGATTAGCGCGGAAAATGCAAAGGTCAGTTGCCAGTTAAATTCCCCAATATCTGAGGGACTCAGTATACTAATAACCTTATAGCTCGTTCACATCTGGGGCCGGGAAGAACAGGTTTTGGGGGCCCAGAATATGCTTCAGGATATGTTGAGTCGCTTGATGCGGCAGCGAACTCTGTCTAAAGTATCGCGTTGGTCTAAGGTACACGCGCATTCGAATACGAAAGTTGCCTATGCCCTGTCGCGGGCAAACCAGGAGGAAAGACTGACTGAGATGCGAAAGCCGCCGGAAACTGCTATGAGCTACACGGTATGGATAACGCTCTGATAACCCTGATTTGTGTTCGGTCCTTTATGGAAACTAACCCTTGAAACTACAGCTTGCTTTCCTCTGGCCCGCTGATGGCCCGTCGTTGAACTACCTTTTCACTGCCCGACGCGAGCTCCTCGATTACCTTCGCTTGAAATACACCGCATATATCTACATCAGACCTGGTATCCAGGACTGCCTTTTCATATCTGGAAACCGGGAGCGGGATATGTGCATCATTGCATCTCGATTCCGAGAGCTGTGGGAGAGGCTAATGGTCCAGCAAAAGACGGACATCAAGTTGTTCCTTATTGCAGCCCCCCGAGTGGAGCTTATGAGAACCCACGTCATTCTCCAAAAATTGGGAGGGTTCTCAATCCCTGCTCTCTGTGGACCGGAACTGGCCCCAGATGTAGCCGCGACCTGGGGAACCACTGCGGAGGAGGTCAAGCGCAACAACAAGATTACTGTCACTACACACCTTCGGAAAACACTGAAGTTAATTCCTAAATTTCGGGGATTGCTGCAAATGCGAGCAAAGTTCGGTTTGTTCGCACTGCAACGGTGGCGCAAGCCCAACGATGGTACTTCTTATCAGTTCTCGGAGTTTCGCGAGATGCTTGCACATGCGAACACCGAAGGACGTTTGCTCCCAGGGTATGTTACCACACCTGCCGGAATCTAATGGCTTGCCGACTGACTTATCTTTTAGGATCCGGCTGCCGCAAGATAAGATCTTCCAGAGAATCATGAAATCCAAATTTCTTAAGCCCTGGGGGAAAGCACCGATCACATCCCTCCCGACGATGATGCCTAGATATTCCGCCATCTTTGAGTACCAACCAAACGACGATTTGATGATTCGCGTGGAAGCGAAATTCTCTCTTCCTCTCGGCTCGCAGGAGTTTGAGGTTAACGGAATCCGTTGTTACAAAGCAAAACAGATTAGTGCCCCTGCTGATCGTCAGATGCCATTGCAGATCAGCATGATTGACCCTGAAAGGTTTGTTGACCTTAAATTCTTTAGAAGTTTACTGGAAACTGACTTTGAATACAGGTCCGACTGGCAACTTGAAGTGAAGGCTCTTGAGCTCTGCCCCGACAAGGAGATGCCCCCCGATATGGAAAAGTTCTTGCGTTCTATTCGGTTCCAATGGAACCCAACTGTAAAAAATATGGGAGCTGCCCCCCAGCGCAGGGCGAGGTTCTTGTATGGCTCGCCAGTCAAGCGCTTCATCGAAAAAGCCGCAATTCAGCTCCAAGTGATTGACTCGCCGCATGTATTCGAGCTCGCCCGCTTCGACGAGTACACGTACACGACTGGTCACTGGTGTCTCAAACCAAAAGTGTCCTGGGGGGTATCGCTGTTCAATCCTACTTGGGATGATATCCTAGGTGAACAGGTTGAGGTCAATGTTGATGACATTTCCAAAGAAGGCTGTCTATCGGTGTTCTTTCCCCCTCCCGAGGGCGAAGAACAAGACAATGACAAGGAGAAAACGGACGAGGAGATCCGCAAGGAGACTGAAACCCGAAAGAAGGCCGAGGAGGAGCAACTGGGCCAATTCATGAGCACTGTCCAGAAAGTTGCGCGGATGCTAGGAAATCCGGGCGGTGAACTCTCCGATGTCCTTGAGACTGAGCTTGGAAGTCTTTTCTAGTGGATTGTCAGCGAGATTATCCTGAAGTTGTCATATCTGGTGGGATGGCAATGGACAAGTCAAAGAAGAAAAACCCAAAAAAAGTGAAAAACGACAAAAAAAGACAAAAAAAAAAAGTATCACTACCGTCCGGCTTGCCTGTCAAGCCGTGATCATTAGGTATCTATGTAGCAATAATAAGTCTGATTCATATTGTATTCTTGGTTTTCTGGTTTCTAATATCAGATAACCCCTTCAGCTTTGGATTCGTGGTCCTTTCTTCTCATTCTTCTTATGTTTCGTCTCCAGTTTGCCTCTTCCAGAATGGTGAGTTAAAACCTTTGTATATGTTTTTGATTTCTCTATGGTGAGCCATGTTGACCAATTCGTACCACCTGGGTCGAGTTTAGGCCGCAGGAGCCTGAGGAGCACCCTCAGCGAGCATCTTCTGCCTCAATGCTGTAGGACAGAGGTTAGAAAATGGAAAAAAAAAAAAAAAACAATAGCCTTGTACGGCAATAAGAATCCCGCGTCCTAAAAGGGGCAAACTTACTCTCTTCCACAACACGCAGTTGCGAGCTCTTGGTCTGTACGATCTTCTCCAACTCCTGCAAGTTTGCCTCCAAGCCCTTAACCTTATCGTCATAGAATGCAATCGCCTTAGGCGCAGTCTGGTAGGAAAACAAATCGTCAGCCCCAATCACCGACATCCCTAGAAATAAAGCCGCCAAATACCTTTTCAACATAAAATCCAGTTCCGACATCAACAAGCACCTTCTCGCGATCCGTCAACCGGCCCTTGACGTACAGCGAGCTGGTGAGGGGCACGAGAATCTCATCTCGGCCATTGGTTCCCTTCTTCTCGTTTCCAGTTACGCCGTCATTGATCGAGCGCACACAGTCGCGGAACTTGGCTTGGGCGGCGCGCAGCTTCGTGTGCGAGGTGGTCAGGTGTTCGAGTTCGGAGGTGAGACGGGTTTGGAGGGCGCGGAGTTGAGGGACGGAGAGAGAGGCGAGATTGACTGGTTCCGGGTTGTTAGCTGGGATTTATTTCCATATGACACGGAGAACTGAAAGACCGCGTCGCAGTGTCATGGTGTTAAGGGATTAGAGACACACTTGAACCTTGGGGAGCTCCGTCTGAGGATGGGGCGGTTTGTGACATTGTGATATTCGGGAGGAAGAATGGGGTATTTTGGGTATTGGTTTTGTTATTGTAAATCTTGTCCTCGCATTGGGACTGTATAGGGACTGTATAGGTGGTGGGGGGAGCTTCAGAAAACTGGTGTCTGATGCGTGGTGATAGTGGGGTTAAGTGTTGGCGGGCGGAATAGTGGTGGGTTGTATTTATGCACACGCACCTACCTCACATTTAACTTATGTAGATCATATCTTTGACAATAGCTAAGTAATTGAGCTCATAAACCCATATTCTTCCGAGGTCGGAGTTATCAATCTGTTAAAAGGAAGTTGTCGGTATATTTATCCCTATTTTTATCAGTCCCTTACAGGTAAAATGTTATTTGCGGGGAAAATCACATCACTCCGATGACCGAGTTCTCCGCTCCGCTCCGTCCTTCCTTACCACATATATCAATGGCTTCAAGACTGGCAGCATGTGAGGCTTGTAGAAAAGCAAAAGTCGCCTGTGATCATAAGCGACCAGCATGTACTCGGTGTGCAAGTAACGATAGAGCTGGAATCTGCATTTACCGAACGACCCCGTTTAAGAGAAGAAGAGTGGAGGGCTCTACATCTTCGCAGTCTCCTAGGTATGTGGTTCATATAATTATCTTATTTACAAATTACTTATTGGCTCGGCAGTCAGGTCCCCCCGGCCCAACCATCCTTCACCCCAAGGAATAATCCCTACCCAAACCCCGGCTTTCTGGGATCTTCCAGCCATGTCGCTATCTTCAACGAAATATCCCCGCAAGACTATCATGCATCAGATACCTACCATGCCGCCGAGGACATGACGATGCTCATGCAATCCCAGTCTACTGGCGAGAATATCTTGTTAATCCAAGGGGCAGATATTCTCAGACAGCTGTTAAATACATTTCCTCTAGCCGCCATGAAAGATTTTGTTACTTTCTGGCTGGCAACGGGAGCGAATCTAGCTCTGGCAGAGCCTTTTACCGAAAAGTGCACCGAGAACATGACTCGCCTATTCACCTCCTTTTCACAGGAAGATAACTGGCATTTGGCATACGCCCAACGTTTAACACAAAATTCTCGGGAACCTTTGCAATTTAACAGCACATCCGATATGGAGACTTTTTCTGCACAGTTCCTCGACCAGAAATTCCGATGGGAAAGTCTAGGTATTTTCCTCTCTGCTGTGACCCGAGCAGCGATCGATATCCCATTTTTCCCGCCATTGTTTAAAACCGAAAAGGATCAGTTCATGCTTCGGAAGTTGTCTACGAAGCTCAGTGATCTCGCGCTAGATATTGCGCTCTCGCTGGATTGCTTAAATGACCTTCAGCTGGTTCTACAGTATGAGAACTTTATTGTACACACCCATGTTGACGGGGACCAAAGTAAGAAATCTCTTGATTTGTCTGTAAAAACTTGCAACTCATCGAGAATCCAGGTTATCATTCGTGGAGCAGACTTGGAGATGTTGTGTCATCCATGTTCGCACTTGGCTACCATGAGAATGTCGAAAAGACCAAGCCACCAATTCCGACTTTCCTTGCAGAATTGAGAAAGACAGCATGGGCCACCACATACTCAGCGGACAAGAATGTGGCTATATTCCTTGGTCGGCCACCTCGAATGAGCAAGCGATTCTGTCACTTTCAGCTTCCTTTGACCCCGACAAGCTCGGATCAGGTTTCAAACACTTCACACGTTGAGGATGAGGTTGTAAGATGGAAAGAAGATACACCGGTCTGTTATAGGTCAGGTATTCGGTGGGCGACCCTTTGCGCCGCACTGAAAGAAGATGTCCTCGAATTGCTTCGATCTAAGCATCGCGCAAATTTCAATCAGAAAGCTAGGTAAGCTGGAGCCCTATAGACCTGGGAGGTGGGATCACTGGCTTATGATCGTGTTTGACATAGCATGATCCGGCAAAAAGCCGAAACTCAATGGGCAAACCTACCTGCTCGCTTCCGACTTTCAACAACCTTGAAAGAATGCTCTGGGGATTCATTCGAACGCGCTTTCCTAGCTAGCATACGCCTGGACCAGCTCCATGTTCTCTTTCTACTCCAACTATCGTTTCTTGATACCCTGACCGAGCCCGACCCATCTATACTCGACATCTCGGATCAAATGCTCGCTCTTGTAGTAGAAACAATTCTTTTACGAGATCAACTGGTCAACTCTGGAACGGGACTCGTTTGGAAGGTATGGATATATGCTTCCAGGATTTGAGCTAATTACCGGACTAATACCCTATTAGATCGCCCACTACGGCCTCCCTGCTGCAGGGATTGTCCTCCTTTCAATGCTGAAACAACACCGCACATTAACCGAGGGGAGATCCTCATGGTCCAAAACAATACTCAATCTTGGTATTTTTGTTGCGCAGGTCCAGGTGGGTAGCATCGTTCGGCGTGGAGATCCAAACTACGCCTTGATATCCAAAGCGACGCAGACGATTGAGCGGTTCCTTGATTCTATACACCGTGAAGGGATACATACCCCGACGCAGCTGCCATCGCATCCCGGGGAGAATGGAGACTGGGCTGCGTTTTTCAGCCAGGATCTGTGTGATTTCGAGACTGACTTCTGGGAAAATCTCGCCTATCATCCCTCTTTGTTAGCTTCGGATCCTAGTTTACCTCCAATATAGTTGAATAAAGTAATATGCAGGAAGGATATATATCGAAACTGTTGATATCTTAGGTATAGGATTACGAAGTGTACAATATGTGATTTGCTATAAAGCCTCGACTATCAAACCACCTATTCCACTTGCCCCTGCTCCTCATCCTCCTCATCCTCATCATCACCATCATCACCATCTTCACCGTCATCCTCATCCTCATCCTCGTCCTCGTCCTCATCATCCTCCTCATCCTCATCCCCATCCTCATCCTCACCCGCAACCTTATCCTCGTACTGGAACTCAAACTGATCCTCATTCTCAAACCCATACTTACTCTTCTCATCCTCATCTTCACTCTCCTTATCACTATCCCCAGCATCCTTCATTTCAACATCAGAGATATCTGCTCGGTCTTTATCAGGCGTCCTACGACCAAAAATATTAAGATAACCCGCCATGGTACTAGTCCAATCCTTAGCCTCTGGTTCAGGCTTAGCCTCAGCCTTATAAGGCTTAAAACCATCAGTCATCTTAATATCACCATCAGCATCCACACTTCGGTCACTCTTAGCTCCGTCATCACTCTTACCATCCGAGTCACTCAGAGCAGTAAAAGTCGTCCATTCGGCCTTACCTTTTATCGAGCTAGCCGTGCGTGCTTTCTTTTGCGGCGGGGGAGCCTGTCCGCTCTCTTCAGTATAACTCCGCTTGCGATTAGCAAGTTTGATATAATTGTCCAAGACCTCTGGGACAATACCAGGCGGAGGTGGAACTGACATAAAAGCGGGCGCCTCGTTGTGCCTTGGTACATAGCCAGCCACAGAGCCAGGGACGTAGAATTCGGTGGGTTGGGCACGTGGAAGGATCACTGGAGCGGGATTTGTGGATTTAATTCCTGTGAATGCGACAGGGACAGGGCCGGGGATAATGGGAGGGATGACTACGGGAGCGGGTGGAGGGGGAGGGGGAGGGGGAGGGGGAGGGGAAGGTACAGGAGGGTGAAGGCGGCGAGATGTGGGTCGGGAGGATGATCGAGGAGTAGGAATATCTTGTCGTATACCAACGGGCGTAGTAGGAGGAGCTGCAACCGAAGCTCGACTAGGAGCAGGAGCAATCACGGGGAGAGGAGCAGGCGCAATCACGGGGAGAGGGGCAGGAGCAATCACGGGGAGAGGGGCAGGAGCAGGGGCAGGAGCAGGGGCAGGAGCAGGGAGAGGAGCTGGGAGAGGAGCAGGGGCAAGGGGAGCAAGGACAGGAGGAGGAGGGACAGCCTTGGCAGGACCCTTCTTAGCCTTAGGAGACTTACTATTACCCCCAGTACGAGCCTTCTTAGCATTATTATGAGAATTGCCAGCAGCATCCAGAGCAATTGCCGCCGAAGCAGACATAGCAGCAGCCCTAACAGGACGTCTACTAGCAAGAGGGACAGGAGCAGGAGCCCGAGCAGGAGCCCGAGCAGGGCCAGCAGGACCGGGAGCGCCGGTGAAAGCAGTAGGATAAGCAGGATCTAGGATTCTCCATGTGGGGTCAGTGAAGCGGTAAAATCGGAGAACATCCCACATACGCTCTGTAAGCTCGACAGGATCTGCGACATGAGCACGAGTTGAAGCTGGCAACTCCGCATGTCTAGCGGTAAACCTTCGCTTAATCTCAGCCGTTCTCTTACCTCTGAACATTGCCTTCCAGTGGCAATTACATTGAAAAGCATCGTACAACATAGGATTGTAGATCTCTCGAATCAAGTTGAGGACGGCGCGTTGATCTGCCGGGTTTGTGGCGATATCGATACCAAGTGCTGCGAAGATAGCAACATCCCAGGTAGTGGGCATGTCAGTTCGGAAATCACAGGTCACTCGAGACATGTTAGTAGATGGCGATGGAAGTGATTTGTGTGTAAATTGAATTGGTGGATTGGGTTGTTAGGCTATTAGCTTGTTGAGTTGGAATTCTTCGGAGTGGTTGAAAATAACGATACTTAGGTGGAATACGTCCACTACTAAATACTGGAGAGGTCCTTTGTGACCTGTGAGATTATTATGAGCATGTTCTATGTATTTTAGGAGACACAAAGGGAGGCTTTCTCTACCCTTTTTGGAACAAAGCGATGCATTCATTGATACTCAATAGAAGCAAACAAGGCCCTTGTCAACTATGAAATCTAAGGATACATCTTTGAAGTTATTGTTGTAGGAACAAAGAATGACAAAGGGGGGAAGTCGTCTTGTTTGATAGAACATTAAGCTTGATTAACATAACTGAGGTCATGATAAAGTTGCCATCTAAGTAGTGGAGCATCTAAGACCCCCAAACGCACATAGATGATTAGGTAATGTTTTAGAGATCTGTTGGATTCTAGAGATTCATTTGCTTGGGAGCTGTATTATAATTTTACCCGGCTGTAACCCATGCGTCTGTACTCAATATATCCTGGTTAATGTTCGGTTCCGGGATCGGAGAGAACAAGGGCTTTCCGTTAGACCGCGCTTAGGGTTGCGCAATGTGTGTACGGAGCAACTGTACATAAATTGACCTCGGGATAGTTTAGGCTCTTACTAACGTCTGATATTATTTGGGGTCACTCCAGGGCTATTAGAGACTAAGGTGATCATCAAGCCACTTCAGTATCGAAGATAGACTTCTACGGAAGTAAGGGATTGCACATGGTTCTCGAATATTCTCCGATTAATGTATTAGGCTACACCGCTACTACTCGAAGTTGATTACACCTTAGACCTCGTGTCAGAAGGTTCTCGGTCCACGAGGCAAGGTAGTACCCTGTCAGCCCATTTCCCAGCCTTGGAGGGTACTGCATATAATATGTATCAGCCCTAACCTTGGAACCGATGCCCGGGTGCTGCCTTGGAATATGGATTTAGAGAATTTAATCCCTCAGATATTCATGCAATCTAGTATATATATATGCGCTGATCATCAAAATTTGCCAAGCTCTTGAGGTCAGTTATTGGGTTCATTTACTTTGCCCCCTAAAGCCACCCGCAGACGGCTATATCCGATGGCCTGTGGGAAACCTCGTCATCACAGTGGGGGCGGGACAAACATAAACCAAAAAGCAAACGGGAAATCAGCCATAAAAGTTTACAATGAAACACATGTTAATATTTTATGTCGCATGACTCAGATTGGGGCCAGGTCTTGGCCTCAAAGATCATCCTTTTCCCCCGCACTTTAACGCAGGAAACTCATGGTTGTTATTTGCATCAGGGGTTGATGTTGGGGATTCGGAGAATTCTCCCTTACATTCTTTATACCCTTTATATACTCAATTTTGAATCTATATCGCTCTTAGATTACAAATGTAAAATATCATAGCGTCCCGTGGCTCGTGTGCTAGGATCTCCTCTAGGGGGTTAGTGCTGACGGGTGGTTATAATCTGGTCCTTGGACAAAGCCACCAGTTCATTTTGGGGCTGATCTGCATATGAGCTCACCCCACGGGGATGTTTGTGCTCTTTTTATATGGGGTAGCCCAGCTTTCCCCCCATCTTTTTTTTCTAGAGTCATCTCCTGAACCAGAAAAGCTATCAAAAGCTCTTCATCATGGAAGAAAAGATCAAAGACGCTCCTCCTCACTACGAGCATGTGGTGGATACCAAGAAAGAGCTGGATGAGGCAGCCAACCCTGATGCGCCTGTGCGCCGCCAGGCCATCGGCATCAACATCGTTCAGAACCCGTTGCAGGTAAGCCTATAACTGAGAATACTCGATCTTTCATGGTATTGTGAAGCAATATACTGACTGGTTTTGTGTCCATAGCGCAGCTCCAAGGCGCAAGCTATCATCGATGCCCGAGCGTACGCCGAGTCGCATGGTTTGGCAGAGCATGCCGATCTATTTGGCCGAGCTGCTGTGGTTGCGCGGGACCCCAAAGGTTTTGAGACGGCCACTGAGCTTGATGACGAGGAGCGCACTGCGCTCGCATACGAGAGGGATCATAAATGGCACGGCCCGAAGATGCTCTGGTACTCAATTGGCCTGTGCGCTATTGGAGCTGCCACACAAGGATGGGATCAGACTGGATCCAACGGTGCCAACTTGTCCTTCCCTAAGGAATTTGGTATTGATGGTAAAGGAAGAGATGAGTGGATCGTGGGAATTGTCAACTCCATCATCTTCTTGACCGCTGGTCTTATGTGAGTATACAGCGATAACCTTCTTTTTTTTCTATGCGACTGACCATGTACATAGTGGTGCTTTCATTGTCGATCCACTTAACCATTATTTAGGCCGAAGAGGTGAGATTTTTGTCACTGCTCTTTGTCTCACTGCCACTCCAATTGGTTCTGGTTTTGCAAAGTCATGGCAAGGACTGTTCGCTGCGCGATTTATAATGGGTATCGGCATCGGCGCAAAGAACGCTACGGTGCCCATTTACTCGGCTGAGATGGCTCCGGCCGCAATTCGAGGTGCTCTTGTCATGTTCTGGCAACTTTGGGTAGTAGCAGGTAACTATTTCTCACCCTTTGTCGAAAAGCATAGCTAACCTCCAATGTAGGTATCTTCCTGGGCTTTGCTGCCAATGTCATTGTCAAAGACGTCCCAAATATTTCTTGGCGTCTCCAACTCGGTTCTGCGTTTATTCCGTCTTTCTTCCTCGCCGCTGGAATCTTTTTCTGTCCGGAGTCTCCTCGCTGGCTTATGAAGCATAACCGGCACGCCGAGGCATACGAGTCGATGAGGCGCTTGCGAGCTCATCCAATCATTGCTGCGAGAGACTATTATTATTCATACGTTATCTATGAAGAGGAGCTTAAAGAGGCTCGGGGTGCAGGTTACTTCGCCCGCTTGTGGGACTGCTTTGCCGTTCCTAGAATCAGACGGGCTAACTATGGTGCCTCGACTGTCATGATTGCGCAGCAAATGTGTGGTATCAACAGTAAGTTCTGTCTTGCTTCTTGAGAGTTGCTAGTGCTGACACCTTTTAGTCATTTCTTTCTACAGCTCTACCATCTTCCTAGAAGCCAACTTTACACAAGACCAGGCCTTGTATGCCTCTCTTGGCTATGGTGCTATCCAGGTCGTGGCCACCATTCCTACGTTGTTCCTTATCGATACCAAAGGCCGAAGAACACTTACTTTGATTGTGAGTTATCCTGTGGTTCCTGGCTGAATATTACTGACAATTGTTCTCAAGACCTTCCCCTTGATGTGTATCTTCCTGCTAGCAGCCGGTCTCTCTCTTTTGAACAAGTCAGGCGGCCAAGCCGGGACTATTGCACCAGTTGCCTTGTAAGTTTGCTAATTATTTTTTACTTTCTTTCAGCTTTCGCTAATTGATCTCTTTAACTAGGTTTGTGTATCTGTTTACCATTGCCTACTCGTTAGGTGAAGGACCCGTCGCTTTCCAGTATTCTGCTGAGGTATTCCCCACTATTCAGCGTGAACAAGGAATGGCCTGGGCTGTTTGCATTAACAACACCTTTGGTGAGTATTTCAAACATCAAATCCACCGAATATTCCATTGACCAAGTCCTCTCTAGCTGGCGTCCTTGGCCTCACGTTCCCCCGAATGATGACTGTGATGACCAAAACTGGTGCTTGTAAGTTGATACATATAGACCATGGTGTCCACATCGCTGACCCTCGCTTTAGTTGGCTTCTATGCTGGTCTTAACCTCGTAGCTTGGTTTATGATTTTCTGCTTTGTCAGGGAGACCAAGCAGCTAACCCTAGAAGAATTGGATCGTAAGTTGAGTCTGAATTCTAGGTCCAGCATATACTGACATAGCTTTCAGAGGTTTTCGCGGTGCCAACCAAGAAGTTCATTCACTACGAACTGACTGTGTGGCTTCCTTGGTGGTTCAAGAGATATATCCTGAGACAGAAGATCGAGAGGCCACCACCTATTATTGCAATGGGCGATGGGGTCCGATAAATGTTCACAGAGTTTCACGTTCTGGATGCCTTTGGACTGCGACTATTGATTGGATTGATGACTTCTTTTAGCTCTGGTGACTTGGTATTCTCATTCTACTCCTAAGGAGGTGGGGTGATCTACATGATATCCGTAATGGTAACCTCAATGATTCTGTTACACACGTATCTATTCAGAATACATTTTTAGTATGCATCCTATATATTCAATTCTATCTAAGCGGTGATATCAATGTACCTATACCAGACACTTCCAAGTAAACAAATGTGACTCTTTGGCAGGAACGACCCAGCATGGCTTCAAATTTCCACCCGAGGCCGAAGACACTTCTCACCTCCTTTTGTGAACATTCTTTGATTTATATTTTTCATCGCAGTCATGGACCAAACATATGCAGAATGGCGACATATGATGGACGACATAGGCGAAGGGCCAGCAAAACCAGAGCCTTTGGTCTCGCAGATACAGTTCACAGCTCCACCAACGCCGTCCAATATCTCACTGATTCCGCATCTTGAGAGTGCCCATCATATCTTCTCACAAGCATTCAACGTCGATATCCGTCTACTGATTTGGCCAGAAAGCTGGTTCCCAGGAGATGAGCGACTGAGTCCTTTGTGGCTTCGACCTTGGATTAAATTTCCTCAACTCCAAGATGAGATGTGGAAGAAAATCGTCGACGCACCCGAATTCGTCAATGCATGTATTTTTCCTCCACAACCCTCAATCCAATACACGGCTCAGCTCGTGAAATGGTACTCGGTGTATTCGGAAGACACTTTGAAACAATTTGCGCACCGAACGATAGACGACTTTCTCGCCATACTTGTTGATTTTTTGGAACGCGAACCAGCACTGAGATACATGTTCAGTGCCCGCGGACAATTGAACTTCGACCGCCCACGTCATTGCTGCATTTCCGTTGCGAAATGCGGATTCGAAGAGCCAGCGTTCGCAGTATTGTATATTCCACCAGTTTGTCTGACTCTGCCCGAACTGGTTGCAGGGTTGCGCGCGGTATCACCGGTGGAAGTCTTCGACAAAGATCCGAAGACATTCGAGGACTATGCCTCCGCCATAGTTATTCGTGCGATTGCTCGTATCTATTCAAGGATGATGGGCGCTGGAATCCAGTATGGGTATATCTACACAGGAGAGGCTTTGGTGTTTCTTCACATCGACCCAAAAGACTGTACCGCGATGGAATACTACCTTTGTGTTCCTGGCCGAGACGTGGTTTCTCATGGTTATGACGCACATTCAAACTGGGTTCGCCGTACGGCTTTGGGCCAAATCCTCGCTTTCACACTGCAATCTTTAGCCGCCAGTCCACCAACGCAGGAATGGCAGGACGCAGTTTATCAATCCTATCGTCCTCTCGGAGACGACTACTCAATCCTCTTGCCCCAAGCCCCGGATGATATTCGATTCAACCCACCAGCAGAGTTTATGTATGAAGACTCATTTTGGACTAGGTTCTGGGGTAATCTTCTGCAAGCAAACATAAAAATGGATGATCCTGATAGCCCTGGCTCACAAGGCTCTGGGTCAGACATTTGCAGGCCTTACTGTACCCAGGCATGCCTCCTCGGCACTTTTGAGAAGGGAGTTCTGGATGAAAACCGTCCGAACGTTTCAGAGCACGGCACGACAAGGCATCATCAGCTCAGTGCACAGGAGATCTGCGACAGGCTGAATGAACAACTTCGAGAGAATCGTTACAGAGGGTTCCAACAGCTGCACATTATTGGTCGAACCTGTTATCTATTAAAAGCAACATTGCGGTCTCATGGATACACGATGATGATCAAGGCCACCAACGCCAGGCAGTCGCGCAGGATCAAAGCTGAATTGGCCAACTACCAGAATCTGAAATCCTTGCAGGGATCTCTAATTCCTGTATGTCTTGGTATGTTTCAGCCTAAGATCCCATATTGGTATCATGGGCTTCAAATGAACTACATGTTGCTCCTCAGCTGGTCTGGAATTCGAACTGACGAACATACAACCACACCCGAAACGAATCAGTACCTCGAACAAGAGGTGCAGAAACTTGAGGATGTCTTTCATGAACATGGAGTTGTGCACAAAGATGTAGCCTTCCGCAACGTGCTGTGGAATCCCGAGTCAGGATCCTTTGTGATGATTGACTTGGAAGATATGAAATGGCTGAAGGGAGCTCCACAGGGCTCGAAGGGACACCGAAGCCATCAGACACAATCCAGCATAGATGAAATCCGGACCAGTAGCCAGGTTGGTGGAAAAGACAATAATCTTTGGTTTTGGCGTTCACACAAAGTATTGTGAGTAAGAGCTGGTTGAGTTGGAAGACAAGGCACAAAAGATTCTATATTTATTCCCAGCGCTATCTTTATTCGGGGCTCCATATCTTGATAACCCCTATTGCCTGTCAAGTTCCTTGAATCCTGTATAATATGACTCCACGAAAAATGAAACCCAGAAGTGTGATCACTCCAAATCAAAAGTCTAGACACATATTAGCACTGATCATTAGTTCAGAGGAATAAACATACCATATCAAACCAAACACCACCAGCAAAGTTGGACTGACTCTTCCCCTGATTCTTAAAGCCAACACTCTCATAAAAGTTCACCAAGTAATCATGCGCAATAAGCACAACCTTACTCGCTCCAAAACATCCTCTCCCAAGATGCTCAAGGTACGCCCGAACAAGAGCCCTCCCAACCTTCTTGCCTTGATACTCCGGCGAAATAGCAACAGAGTGAATCGCAATGCTATCGCCATACTTATGATTCCCAATTAACTCATCATTAACAAAAACAGGCTCATCATCCAATGATCGCCAATTCTCCGGCATTGCCATAGATCCATCCGTGATACGCGTATAGGGAGACCGCACTGCAATGACATGACCAATGAGCGCAGGTGATGTCCCTTGTTCATTCTCAATAAAGAGTCCGAGACATAGATCCGGATTCGCTCCCAGGCGATAACAGAACTTAGTCCGTGTCAGAAGAACTTCGGATCCAGTAAGCTAGTCTCTGGCTCTAGTGCTCACCTTTTCCTCAGAACACCTTTCCGCCTCTGTAAAAGCTTCTTCGACTGCTACGCAGATCTTCACGTCGTCCTTGCTCAAGGTCCGGGTGAAGGTATTGCTTCCGCCCAGGCTTGGGATGTGGATGTTTGTTTGGGTCATGGTGGGATTGTGAAAGTTGGAAATAGAAAATAGGAATTGAGTCGGAAAGGGAGAATCGGTATGCCTTTTTAATGAGTCAAGGCCGGTTCTATATCGGCGGATTTATGTGGGACAAACCGGAGTATTCGGATCGGAGTGTTCGGCGTGGAGACACCGTCGAGTATCTTGATAGTCGATCACTACGCAAAACGTGAAATCCGGAGAAAAAGTGGATATTGAAATGTTGATTTCGTTGATTTCATGCGTTAATTGTCGATTAGCAGGAGGCTGACGCGATGTTACATAGCTACACCGCTACTGTGTACTGCGGGGGGCATACAAGATATACGTTCTAGAACCCATGTTGTTTACCATAGGAATTCAACTGTAGTTGAGGCAAGAAATATATAGTTCAAGCTTTTTGTTTGTTGTGGCGTCTTGAGAAGATCAGGAACCAACCATTGGGAATCATCAAAAGCCTGGCTTTACTATAGATGGATCGGAGATGAGATAATGTACAAATTGACTTGCTAATATTACATGCTGTCGCTTCCAGCCTATCAAAGTTTCGCCAACAAGGACTCGACAAACGTCCGTAGTTCATCCAACGGCACATCCTCTTTTACATCCAGCCGACGGCACTGCACCTCCAAAGTCTCCTTCTTCTTCCACCCATTGCCAACAACAACGATGATAGGGTATCCAATCAAATCTGCGTCGCCAAGCTTCCAGCCCATACCCTTGTCCCGGTCATCAAGGATAACATCGAGAGGCGCCGCAGCGTCGCCAGTAAGACTATCATACACCTGATCTGCAACGGTCTCCAGCCCCTTTCCTGAGACAACCACAACCTCATAGGGCGCCATAGCACGTGGCCAATTGAGTCCCTTGGAATCAGCAAGTCGGTTCGCCACTGCAGAGATCATACGCGAGACACCAATACCGTGACAACCCATCTGCATAGGCACAATTTGTTCCTTGCCCGATTTCGCATCTGGTTCCGAGGACCCCTCGAGAAGAGCGGAATTAACAGAAACAGAGGCATTCAGGACTTTGCTGTACCGCGTTCCCAAGTGGAATGTGTGTCCTAGTTCCACAGCAGAATGGCTAGTTAACGATCCATGCGCGCACTGCGAGCACTGGTCTCCATCATGCACGCGGACCAAGCTGAGTTTGTTTGAAGTTCCGGGGAATCGGTCCAGCTTGGAGTAATCTATGTCCGAGGCTGTGCAGCCTGCTTCCTGGAGAAGATCGCTCAGCGGCGGGCGCTGGTATACCCGAACCTGCGAGTCATATAGATCTACCACACGCGGCTTCGTCGAGGACTTGTTTGCCTTGACGTGGGCGGTCCATCGCTCTAGTGGGTTCTCCACGCTCAGATCGAGATCAATACCAGCGGCGGTCGCGACCGCCTTAACGGCGTGGGAGTTGACATGGCGCTCAACGGGCTCTGTCGCGCCGTTCTGCATCGAGAATTTGGGGTGCCAGCTTCGCACGATGGTGTTATTATCATGAGATATAGCCATCAACATGCCGGTTGAGATTGTTGATCCACCTTCTACAGGTGCATCATCTGTCTGGAAGCCAGGTGTTGTGTTTTGTTCGGACTCTTCAGAGCCGTGCGTCTTGCCGTCTGCGAGCTCTTCGTTATAGACATGGTCACAGTGAGAACAGCTGACCACCTCGTCCTCGCCCTTTGGGCTGATGAAGTGGTACTCATGGCTCAATGAGCCGCCCATGTTTCCTGAGTCTGCTGCCGCGACTAGGTAGGGAATCTTGAGCTCGTTGAATAGCTCTGTGTACGCTTTTTTGACTGCTTCATATGTTTCCATTGCCTCGCTGACACTGTAGTCGAATGTGTAAAGGTCTTTCATGATGAACTCTCGCCCACGAAGTAGGCCTTGTCTAGGCCGGGCCTCATCTCTGTACTTTCGCGCTTCATTTATGATTCCATTAGTGAGATGTACAGACAACGGGGAAAAAAATCTCACTGATTTGATACACCCGCAGAGGCAGACTCTTGTATGATGTTGTCAGATTCCCCACAAGTGTGGTTATCTCTTCTTCGTGTGTTGGGGCTAGAAGAAATGGAGTGTCTTTCCGATCTTTGAATCGGAACAGCTAGGATGCATGTCAGTGGTGTTATGCAAAATATTGGTATGGTTAGCCTACTTCTGAGCCGTCGGATAGTCTGCCAGACTGTGCCCAGAGCTCTTGCGATGATATTGAGGACAAAGAGACCTTGGATGCGCCTAAATTTGCTTTAGCTGCCATCCCATGATAAACACAGCGTGCAGTCCATACCAAGTGACCTCATATGCTTGTCAATCAGACGCTCCAGCTTATCTTGAACACGTAGGCCAAGTGGGAGCAAATGAAAGACTCCCGAATATGCCTGGAGGACCGTCAGAGATATTTACTTGGACATAAAGATTTGACTGCTCACCTGTCGAAGAAAACCACCTCGGACTAACAGGTCATTGGCATCCTCTAGATCAATGTTAACATCGGGTGATAGTTAAATTCCCATCGGGTTTATGAATGGCATACCCTTTTCACCATCAACGGGCTTCTTGGAAATTCCACCAGTAGGGATCCATATATTTGAAACACGGCTTCTGCCATCAACCTACATTGAGTCAGTACACACTATCAAGCACATTCAATCAATCTTTTGGAAGCGCGTACGTGAAGATTGCATTGCTGGACGCGCAGGCTCAACGCTAGCCGCCGGCCGGCTGTGCGCCCTGACAGAGGTCGCAGCCTGGAAATCATCGATCGAGATAGCCCAAGACGTCAAAATCAATTATTTTAGCAACTGAGCTCCTGGCTAAACATAAATAAGTTGTAGAGCAAGCCGAGTGTCCCTTCTCCGATGTTTCTTATCGCGTTGGTCCGAGCGCCCCGATAACCCGCCGCAAAAGATTTCTCCGTCTAATTTTCTTTCCTCCAATATTCAACCCCAATCACAACACATCATGGCTGCAGGGAAAGGAAAGCGCTCTTCGGGCGCAGCTGAGACTGCTCCTGCGACGAGCGCATCAGCTCCCGCTGCGGAAACCGTGCCATCTATGCCAGACGAGAGCGCCTTCGCCGGCCTACGACAGAAAATCGAACAGCGTTTGAAGACCCAGAATCAGAGCGCCGGGAAAGGCAAAAAGGATAATACCAAGCCACCAGCCCCTACCGCCAATGCTTCCGCAAATAAAGGAAAGCAATCTCCTGCTAAGCCCAGCCGGCCCCAGGATTCTGCGCAAGGCAAGAAGCGGGATCGCAGCGGCGAGGTGATTGCTCGGGAACAGAACAAGGGTGGAGCGAACAAGCAAGAAAAGCCTAAATCTGGCAAGAAGAGCAACGACGACGAAACACTGCGCCAAGAGATTCTAGCTATGGGTGGTACAGAGGAGGATCTTGATCTTCTTGCTGGTGTCGACTCCGAGTCTGAGGTTGAGGGCGAGTCTGGCAAGGCTGACGATGATCTCCGGAAGCAGCTTTCTAGTATGCTGGAGGCTTCAGGGCACGTCGTGCCTGAGGATCTAGCAGACGACGAAGTCGAAGACATCGAAGCGGAAATAGAGAGCGAGGATGATTTCGAGGGCAGCGAGGATGAGGCAGAGAGCAGCGGGCCTGAATCTGACATCGAGGAAGCCCCTGCTCCGAAGTACGAAGCTACCGTGCCTAAGGAATATTTGAAGCTGGTAAGTTGTGGAGGGCCTGGCACCACAACGCTTTTGCTAATACTATCATTATAGAATGTTCTTCCCCGGTCCGACTGGTACAATATCCCCATGCCATCATCCGCCAAAGACACGAAACAGATGAACGCCTTGCCCCGCCACCTGATGGAGCGTGTTCACGAGCTGGCCAACAAATTGCTACAGGAAGAAAATGAGGAGTATGCGGCAGCTCAGAGAGCATCTGCTTCTTCTTCTCACAAGTTCTACTCGACCATTATGACGTCTGGTACCCTCAGCGATAAAATTTCCGCCTTGACTCTTAACGTTCAGGAGTCACCTCTTCACAACACCAAGGCACTGGAGACCTTGATTGGTCTTGGAAAGAAGCGTAGCCGTGCGCAGGCAGTTGAAGTTCTGCGATCATTGAAGGATATGTTCGCACAGGGTACTTTGCTTCCCAGCGACCGACGACTGCGGTCTTTCACTAATCAGCCTGGACTTGTCGCTGCATTCCAAGGCGCCGGTGGGCGGTGGAACGAGAAGGACCCTCTTCCCGGTGGGTTGAAAAAGAGCGAGCTGATTGTTTGGGCTTTTGAAAACTTCGTTAAAGATCAATTCTTTGAAGTCATCAAGATTCTAGAGATTTGGTGCAATGACGAGATTGAATTTTCACGGTCCCGGGCCGTCAGTTATGTCTACGAACTTCTCAAGGAGAAGCCCGAACAGGAGACCAATCTTTTGCGACTTTTGGTCAATAAGCTCGGAGACCCTGGCAAGAAAATTGCCTCTCGGGCATCATACCTGTTGCTGCAACTCATGCAGTCGCATCCTATGATGAAGCCGATCATCATTAAGTCAGTGGAAGAAGTGCTGTTCCGGCCTGGCCAGAGCTCCCACGCCAAGTACTATGCTATTATCACTCTAAACCAGACAATCTTGAGACAGAAGGAAGAAAAGGTGGCTGCTCAGCTGCTCGATATCTACTTTGGGTTGTTCCTCGTGCTTTTGAAGCCCTCCCACCAGGGCAAGCCTGATTCCAAGGCCAAGCCTGGCCCCAAGGGAAAATACAACAAGCATGGAAAGGGACCGAAGGGCAAAGGCGGCGATGACGACGCTGCCAAAGGACAGGCCCAGGACGACGAAATGCGGGAGAAACTGATCTCTGGTGTTTTGACCGGTGTCAACCGTGCTTATCCTTTCACCGACTCTGATTCCGAACGGTATGTTTTTGCTTACACTTTATTCATTCACACAATGTACTAACTCCTATTAGCATGTCGAAGCACCTCGACACCTTGTTCCGCATCACGCACTCCTCAAACTTCAACACCAGTATCCAAGCTC